GCCCGGTCCCGCTGCGGATCTCATGCAATAGGCGCTCTAGCCTCTGCAGCGGCACGGACTACTAGGAGTGAGTGCTAGTCAGTGCGAGTTCTCTGATAATCAACTTGGGTTCGGGTATCGTCGCAACGAGAGACGCTGGTGGGGATCCGAAATAGGCGTCCCGGCCGGTGCTGTGTATAGACGGACTGCTCTTTGGCCGGAGAGCTACTCTGCTCTTGGGCAGTCGGCGACAGTCCCAGCATGTCCACGTATACTGTACGGAGTGCTGTGGGTTGTCAATCCATCTCTAAGGTGCTGCCTCGCCTGAAGCTAGAGGCGAAGAAAGTGGGATGGGGGTCTCGAGGCCTTGCTCCCCCTTGCCGAGGGCGTCTCCATCTTGTCCCCATAGATACTCGACTCGTACAGTTGCATGGTTGGGGTAGCGTCTGCTCTTGTTGAAGCTCGCCCCCGCTCCACGCGCGTCAAGACGGAGGCAAAGAACGGAGCAAAGAAGCTCCTTAATAATGGGAACTGCGCTGCGCGGATACAGGCGTTGTGTTTTACATAAAATGGCATAGCTGTCCCCATCTGGATTGTTTGCTTTTTCTCTCCTGCATTCCTCTATCAGTACAATCCTCTTTCGTCATAAATACCCCTCCTGCCCCTCTCGTCTTTTTACTTTTTTTCTTTTTCCTTCTCTCATAGAAGCAGAACCAGCAATCCTATACCCTTATACCCCTTTCGACTTATCATAAATCCTTCACCATGGCTCCTTTGACCGTTGAGCTCAACACTCCCATCACGGGCCCCTACTCACAACCCATTGGCCTGTGAGTCTCGTCCCTCGGTTCACTCCTCTGCTTGATATATAAACACAGACTAACATAACACTTGGTATCAAGGTTCATTAACAACGAGTGGGTCGAGGGTGTCGACAAGAAGAAGTTTGAGGTCGTCAACCCCGCCACCGAGGAGGTCATCACCTCCGTCTGCGAAGGTACCGAGAAGGATGTCGATCTTGCCGTTGCCGCTGCCCGCAAGGCTTTCAACACAACATGGAGAAAGATTGCTCCCGGCGAGCGTGGCCGCCTGATGCTCAAGCTCGCTGATCTCGCCGAGAAGAACCTCGACCTTCTCGCCGCTGTCGAGTCTTTGGACAACGGCAAGTCCATCACCATGGCCCGAGGTGATGTCGGCGCTGTTGTTGGATGCATCCGCTACTACGGTGGCTGGGCCGACAAGATTGAGGGAAAGACCCTTGACATTGCCCCCGACATGTTCAACTACACTCGCCACGAGCCTGTAAGTAACAAGTGAAGCCAATCGTCTCCTGGAGAACATGATTGCTAACTACAATCTCTGTACAGCTCGGTGTTTGCGGTCAGATCATTCCCTGGAACTTCCCCCTTCTCATGCTTGCATGGAAGATTGGCCCTGCCCTGGCCACTGGTAACACCATCGTCATGAAGACCGCTGAGCAGACCCCTCTGTCAGCCCTCGTCTTCGCCAACCTCGTCAAGGAGGCTGGTTTCCCCCCCGGAGTTTTCAACCTGATCTCTGGTTTCGGCAAGACTGCCGGTGCCGCCATCTCTTCCCACATGGACATTGACAAGGTCGCCTTCACCGGCTCAACCGTCGTTGGCCGCCAAATCATGAAGGCTGCCGCCGCCTCCAACCTGAAGAAGGTCACCCTTGAGCTGGGTGGCAAGTCCCCCAACATTGTCTTCAACGACGCCGACATTGAGCAGGCCATCTCATGGGTCAACTTTGGTATCTACTTCAACCACGGCCAGACCTGCTGCGCTGGTACCCGTATCTTTGTCCAGGAGGGCATCTACGACAAGTTCCTCGAGGCCTTCAAGAAGCGCGCTCTGGCCAACAAGGTCGGCGACCCATTCCACCACGAGACCTTCCAGGGACCCCAGGTCAGCCAGCTGCAGTTCGACCGCATCATGGGCTACATCCAGTCCGGAAAGGAGGAGGGCGCCACGGTCGAGATTGGTGGTGAGCGTCACGGTGAGAAGGGCTACTTCATCCAGCCCACCGTCTTCAGCAACGTCACTGCCGACATGAAGATTATGCGCGAGGAGATTTTCGGCCCCGTCGCCGCCATTGCCAAGTTCAAGGATGAGGAGGAGGTCATCCAGATGGGCAACGACTCCAACTACGGCCTGGCCGCTGCCGTCCACACCAGAGACCTCAACACCGCCATCCGCGTCAGCAATGAAATCCAGGCCGGCACCGTCTGGGTCAACTGCTACAACCTGCTGCACCACCAGATGCCCTTCGGTGGCTACAAGGAGTCTGGTATTGGCCGTGAGCTCGGTGAGGCCGCGCTGGCCAACTACACTCAGAACAAGTCTGTTGCCATCCGTCTGGGAGGCGCCCTGTTCTAAGTTACAAAAAGTAAAAAAATCTATATAAAGTATACAAAAAAAGGAGAATCAACTTGTCACGATTAGTATGAGTACTGGGCAGGGTATCTTTTATTTTCTGTTATGTAGCCTGATGTAGCTCTGAAATGAAATTGTATGACACCCACAAGTTGAGCCAAGATGCGATGAAGTGAAGTGAAGTCAATTGAAGTCGATGTCAGGAATTAGACTAGTGGAGATGGATCAATTAGCCGTCGGTTGTTTTGCAGCGCTTTGGTCAGCTGGAGATGATTTGTTGTGATGACCTCTGCCTGTTCGAATGGGGTAAATGCTGATGCGGGATGTTAGACGGTATGGACTACTAGGGAATTATCCGAAAGTATGAGCTACCTAGTATCGTGTAACGATGAGAATAAATATCCGCGGATAGATGGCTAATGGATTGAGTGCATGTTGAAATTGGAGCTCTGTAGTGTGGGTGATTGATTGTTGGATGAGATCTTGAGTGTTTGGTAGAACGTGGACGATGCCCTTCTTGGGTATAGTATGCTGCTTGGGGTGGATTATCTGATGGAGATGATTAAAATGAATAAACTTCTCATAGTCATATCTACCTCTACAGCTGAGCGCTCTTTTCAAAGAGAGAGCTGGTGCGCCGTTGGATATTGCTAGTACTGATTCTGTTGTTATCCTATCGATGTAGTGGTTGCCTGCTCAAGTGGTACAACTTCAATGATACCTGGTATTCCAGAATTTTATTTCCTGGGTTGAGACATATTAACGGCACTACAATGCCCTTTCCATCAGCATTGATATGAAATCCAGTGGTATTATAGTCTTATACTATAGCTGCCTACTACTCCGTAATGTCATCTTATAGTAAGATGTGCTTGAGTAGGTAGATACCCATCTCCTAAACAGCACGATAGCGTCACCATGTCACTACATGCAGCCTCTGTTGCGTTGCATCACCTGCTCCGTCACATTGGAGAAGCAACAAGGATAAACCAAGCGAAACAATTGCATTGTGTACAGGTTACTCTGGATAAACTGATTCATCACCTTTTTGTTCACCATGCACCTTGTACTGCAACTTTACACTGCACGCACACGTAGTGACGCAACACCCACCCACCAAGTCACTGTACTTTTGGTCGGCCTCCCGCGTCCAACTGCAACATTCGCCCAATCGGGCAGCGCCACTGTCGTGACATAAAACGTAAAACGAGGGAGGGGGAAATCAGATCACTTCCCAACCTTGTCTTGCTTTTTTCAAATCTCTCTTCAACTTCTTCTGTCATTGATTTGTGTCTCTTTTTTCTTGCTGCGTCTTTGTTAATTGTGTTTTCCTTTTGTTACGGATACCGAAAAGGTGCAGCAGATTGTAGAAGCGCTACGGAGAATATCGCACAACTAGGGTCGAGTATACGATACGACACGCCAACGACAATGGGACTCGGCTTGGGTCTCGCATTCATGCTGGTAAGGGAAGATTGATTGAATATTCAACATTCCTCGTGTCTTTTACATCTTCAATCGCTAACGCGCTTCTCTTCCAGGGCAGCGCCGTGCTGTTTGGCGTCGCAGCGTAAGTCGAACCACCCAAAGCCATGCCATTCTGATATGTCGCTACTTCTACTTACACGATAACCCTCGAACAGCGTCGTCCACTTCCACAGCGCCCATCTGTCTCTCCCCGTCAGCCCCGTCATAACCATTCTCACCATTCTTCTCCCCATCGTCTCCTTTCTCAACTCGTACATCTATCCGACGCTTTTACACTCCGCACGCAATTCGTCACATCCTCTGCATCGACTTAGTCCTACGATCCTACAGACGCTACAGGGGATTGTCACGACGATCCTTGCAACGTTGCTCTTTGAGGATGTGATACCTTCGACGACGGTGGATTGCTTGATGGAGAATCGATGGAAGGGCATGTTTCAGGCCCATGACGGGGAATCAATCCGTCTAATCCAGGACACCCTGAATTGCTGTGGTCTGAATACAGTCCAACACATGCCTTATCCTTTTATCAAACCTGATACTACTTGCTCTACAATGTATGGACGGGATAAGTCATGCAGGGGCCCGTGGACGGCGGCTCTTCGAAGCAGCACGGGAGCTGATTTCGGAGTGGTCACTGCAGTGGGATTGCTGCAGGTGAGATTCTCCTACACCAGCTGATTCACTCAATTCCACACTAACGAATTCACTTTGAATAGATTTTGAGTCTTCTCATGACCAGAGAAGGTACAAACTGGTGGAACTCATGGCGCCCTATTGCGTGGCACCGACAACGGCGTGGTGTTGAGGGTGAAAGACGCGCGCTGTTGGAAGACGTCACTGATGCAGACGAAGAGGTTGTCGAGCGACAGGACGACTCTTCTCGTTCGCGAGGATACCAGAGCCTGCCTTCTGCTGAAGCGGAAAACAGGCCGAGGGTTGAACCGTCTCCGATTCACCAAGAGGAAAACCACTGGAGAGACAGCTGAGCTGGGTTTGAATGGGCCATCCTTGATGAGAGTCATTCACCGCAGAAATGGGTAACATAATCACGACAACATGAACAGAAAGGGGAATTTTCTTGAAAAGTTGATGGATTCTTGCTTGGTATTAACAATGTTTTATCTATCGGTCTACCTTCTATCTCTTCCGTGACTCGAGTGCCTCCTTGCCTAGCTTCTCTAGCGCACTCTCATATTCTTCTATTCTCTCTTCGTTCATCTCCTCAATCATGACTCTAGCCACCTTTTGTGATCTCTTCACAGCAGCACTCTTACCAATCTTACCCCAGAACCAACCACTCTCCCCGTCTCCCACAAGTGTCCAGGCACATCCAGATCTACCAGCTCGAGCAGTACGTCCCACACGATGGACGTAACTAGCTACGCTTGGCGGCAAGTCATAGTTGATGACGTGCGGCAGCTTTGGAATATCAATACCACGTGCCACAAGATCAGATGCTATAATGAGACGGAGAGGGGAAGAAGGGGTGGTGAAGGCTCGCAGAGTCTTGCGACGGATGCTGGTTGGCGTGGTGGATGTGAGAGTGCCGATTTGTGTAGCGAGGGACTTGTCGAGGAGGATGAGCAGCCGGGATAAGCGCAGGGCAGCTTCGTTGGACTTTGTGAAGATTAATGATCTGGGGAGATGTGACTTGGACGGCTTGGAGTGTGCTTTCTTGTTGCGGGCGTTCGATTCTGCGTCTGAATCCGAATCCGATTCTGAACTTGTATCAGAGTCTGAACTAGTGTCGGAGGCAGAGTCGGAATCGGAATCCGAACTTGTATCGTCTGAGCTAGTCTCTGAGCTTGAATCTGACTGTGCTTCTGTGCTAAGATCCACATTCTTGGCATCGTCGTTAATGGCCATATGTGGGCTTCGTAGAAGATCAAGAAGATACAGTGGCTTGAGGTTTGCATCGTGAACCCTCACGGCATATTCTTTCAGAGATTCCGGCAGCGAGTGCTCCGCAACCTGAACATCCTTGCCGCTCTCCAGGACAATCAGCTTGGGTCTGCGCAGAGCGAGCTGATTCAAAAGACTTAGATCCCTCGTCAGGGTGGCACTAAGAAGAATCTTGCGGACGCCCGAGTACGGCATGTCGGGAAAGTCCCGAGCGCCAAACTGGCTCGTCTTGAATTTGTCTAGGACGACGTCTAGCCATCCTTGGAAACTTTGCGCGAGCAGCTTGTCGGCCTCGTCGACGACGAGCCAGCGGATGTAGGACAGGGAGAAGCCAGGCGTCTGGTCGAGGTGCTCGACGAGACGGCCGGGGGTGCAGATGAGGACGTCGACTTTGGAATAGAAATCAATGACTTGGCCTTGCCAGGGGCCGATGCGAGGGTTGGCACGTTGCGTATTGGGGCCGGTGAGAAAGTCGTCCAGATCGTCTTCGCTGTGGGAACTCGAGGTTCGATGTGATGCTTCTTGTTCCAGCTGCTTGTATGCTTCCGGATCGTATCGCGTCTCCTTGCTCACGAGAAGATCCTGTTCAGAGGCCAATGACTGGTTACCAATGGCGATTCCAACGCGCACCCTTTTCCTGTCTTCTCCCTCGTAGGCCTTTGCGCACAGCTCAAAGACTTCTTGGGCTTGCTTGACGAGTTCTCTTGTAGGGAGCACGACGAGCGCACGTAATCTTGTAACAACGCTGTTGCTCAGATCTCTTACAATCGGTAGAGCGTAAGCTAGTGTTTTTCCAGATCCAGTCGCCGCCGAGACAAGAAGATCGCCCGGCTGCTGCTTATTTGTAGGGAGTAGTAACGGCAGAGCTGCTGTCTGAACGGCAAAAGCTTCTGTGTAGCCCTTTTGTTCCAGCACCCGCGCTGCCTTTGGGAGGATACCCAGATCTGTAAAGGGAGTTCTAGTATCCACCGAGACACGAATGGGCGCCGAGAGCCATGGAGGAAGAGTCTCGTATGTCGGCTTTTCCGTGCTTGGTGCGGTTCGTGCGGGCTGCGGGAGAGGTTCCAGGCCATGGAGTTCGGTTGGCTCTTCCGGCTCCTCCACGATGCCTTGCTCTTTGATGATTTCGGCGTACTTGAGTGATTTGGCTTTTCGTTCAAAGACGGCCTTGTGTCGCTTGTCTTCTTCATCTTCCGCTGGAGCATCGTCCATGTCGGCATCCTGGGATTTCTTCTTCTTTTCGCGTTTGGCCTTCTTCACCTGCTTTTCATCGGATTCGGGAGCTTCCACGTCGTCCTCCGCGGGGGGTTCCGCATTTACCATCTCAGCATCCTGGGCGCTGGGACTCGTTTCGTCAACATCAACCTGCTCGGGCCTCCATTCGTTGTCTTCATCCCCATGGTCGGATGTTTCGCTTCCCTTCTTGTCTTTCTTCTTCTTCTTCTTTTCTTCCTTGTTCAATTTCAAACCATCACCGAGTTTTTCTGATTTCCTGCTCTTTTTCGGTTTTGTCTCCTCTTCATCTGCGGATTCTTGTTCTTGTTTTTGCTCTGGTTCTTTTTCCTTCCGCACTTCGTCCTTGGAACCACGCTTCGTCTTGGTCTCGGCCTCTTCTGGCTCTGTATCTGTTTCTGATTCATCTTCTGATTCGACATCTAGCGTTCGTCTCTTAGATTTCCTCGGCTTCTTTTTCTGAGATTGCAGTGGGGGCTCCCCATCGCTTCGCTTTCTCTTTGGCTTTGGAGAGTCTGCCTCCTCTTCGAACCGCTGAATTGACGGCAATTCAGTCTGTTGTTGGGTTTTGGCGCCAGGGATATAACGAGAGTAAGAGAGTCCATCACCATTTGTCGCTACGGGAGCTGCAGGTACTGATGATGGTGCCGGCGCTTGTTTCGCGACGGAAGAATCTCTGCTGGCTTTCGGAGGCGCATTCCCTCCAGCTGGAGGGATATATCTTGCATACATTTTGGAGTTTAAGATAATATGAAAAGACTGAAACCAATAAAAATGAACAAAAAAGTAAATTGACCCCAGAAATTCCGGGTTGAATCAAATGCGCTGCGCCGACAACTTTTTCTGCCACTGTCCAAGTCAATGCGATGCAGATCTGCGACCCGCGCAGTAGCTCGTCCAAAAATTTGGCAACGGAGCTGTTATCGGCGTTTTGCCGCCATTCACCGCCAAGCTTATCGACGGGCTTAGCGTCATCAATGGAGACGTATCCAATTGGAGCTCGGGAGAGTGAGTCTATAACTGCCCTTAAATTACATCCACCTTGTAAAGACCTCCTGTATAACCTCCCCAGGAATCCCAAGGAGTATTTAATGATATGGTATCGACTGAGATGATATGATACAACGAGGAAGAGTGCATAGCACCTAGGCGGAAGAAGAAGAAGAAGAAGAAGAAATCAGCCGGTGGTGACGACGCTCACATGCTGTATCTCACCCTCTGTCTCAGCATCAGTCGCTCTCACAATCGCAAAGATCCATGATCACGATATCCAGCATCCAGGGCTCATATTCCATAATTTATCAACTACAAGATGGCGCGCAAAACCTACAACATCGCCATGGTTAGCGACTTCTTCTTCCCCCAACCCGGCGGCGTCGAGTCTCACATATACCAACTCTCGAGCAAACTCATCGACAGAGGCCACAAGGTCATCATCATCACGCACGCCCACGATGATCGCAAGGGAGTCCGCTATCTCAACAACGGCCTCAAGGTCTATCATGTGCCGTTTCTAGTCATCTATCGGCAGGCAACCTTTCCTACCGTCTTCTCCTTTTTCCCCATTCTACGAAACATCTGCATCCGTGAGCAGATTGAGATTGTCCATGGCCACGGCAGTCTTAGTTCGCTCTGCCACGAAGGCATCTTGCATGCAAGAACCATGGGGCTGAGGACTGTGTTTACCGATCATTCGCTCTTTGGGTTTGCGGACGCTGCCAGTATCTTGACAAACAAGCTACTCAAGTTTATTCTCAGCGACGTGGATCATAGCATATGCGTGAGCCACACCTGGTATGTAAAACGACAGATTCTCCCTGCAATTTACCCTTTTTAAATCTAACCAACTTTTAGCAAGGAGAATACTGTGCTTCGTGCATCACTAGACCCTCTCATGGTATCAGTCATTCCCAATGCCGTCGTGGGCGAAAACTTTCGGCCTCGCGACTATCCAGCACCGTCAGACCAGGGAGGAGGCTTCAGGTCCGAGCCATCCCCTCGCCTTCTCGGCCCCGACGACATGATCACCATCGTCGTCATCTCCCGTCTCTTCTACAACAAAGGCACAGACCTTTTAACCGCCGCCATCCCCCGTATCCTGGAGAACCACCCCAACACCCGATTCATCATCGCCGGCTCAGGCCCCAAGGCTATTGACCTGGAGCAAATGATTGAGACCAACGTGCTACAAGACCGCGTCGAGATGCTCGGCTCCATCCGCCACGAGGACGTGCGCGACGTCATGACCCGCGGCCACATATACCTTCACCCTTCCCTTACCGAAGCCTTTGGCACCGTCATCGTCGAAGCTGCCTCGTGCGGCTTATACGTCGTGTGCACCCAAGTCGGCGGCATCCCAGAAGTCCTCCCATCGCACATGACGACCTTTGCAAAGCCCGAAGAGGACGACATCGTGGCCGCCACGGGCAAGGCCATCACCGCCATGCGGGCGGGGAAGATCCGCACCGAAAAGTTCCACGACGAGGTCAAGAAGATGTATTCGTGGTCCAACGTCGCCATGCGCACCGAGCGCGTGTATGACGGCATCTGCGGGACTATTAGCGAGGAGGAGTTTTACGGCTTCGATACTAGCGGTTATAACGGGAGCCGCATACGAGACTTTGCGCTCATTGATAGGCTGAAGCGGTATTATGGCTGCGGCATCTGGGCTGGTAAGCTGTTTTGTCTGTGCGTTGTCGTGGATTACTTGTTCTTCTTGTTTCTTGAGTGGTGGTTCCCCAGGGAGAATATCGATGTTTGTCCGGATTGGCCGCGGAAGTCGCCTGCAAAGGACAAGGCGCAGGACTCGATGAAGATTGCACTGAGCAATCGATCAACTTCATCGATTAGAGTTCCCAAGTTGGATAGGTGAAGGGTTTAGATCGTTGTTTTAAGAGACAGCTTATTGGAGGCGTGTTTTTAAAGTTTCTTATTATGGGATTGTGTGAAAGAGTCACAGTAGTCTCTCCCCTTATGATAATTCAGAGCGAATAGCGCAATGTTACCACGAAAGTAGACTGGATTTATAGAATCTTATATCAACATTCACCTAATCAATCATTCATGAACCATAAACACGCCCTAGTCGCTTCATGTGTCACGTAACGCAAAGCATCAAAGGCATCGCCCGAACGTTAGACATTATCAAGCCCCAGTTGCGATTACTGGAGATCTTGGCTCGCATTTCGAGTTAAAAGCTAATAGAAGCTAATAATTACTCTCTGAACTTTGCAACTCTAACAAAAAAGGCGCTATACACAACTCAAAAGCCATCGCAAAAGCATCAAAAACCCCCAGTTTCGCCGCTTCCCGTTACCCGCTAATACCCTTTCCCTTTCCCTTCCACATAACGCTCCCCAGCTACTTCGATAACTTCGAGCCCCTTAAGACCCTCGGACTCCGCACGCCCTTCCCACGAGGCTTCTCGCCCAGCATTTTCATAAGCACAGGCTGTTTCTAACTCCTAGTACTGATACGTCTCCTCTTGGCCGTCCCCGAAGCCGAAGCCGAGTCCCCATCGCCAGCAAGCTCGTCTTCCTCTTCAGCAGTGTCTTCCGCCGGTGTGGCCACACTTCCCTGCCTCGTCGTGGATATCGGTGGAATACCCCTGTCCTTTTCGGCCGCGCGCAAATCGCCCAGTAGCTTCTCGACCTCGAGAAACATGCTCTGCGTGTTCTTAACCACTCCGTTTTCGTCGAGTCGATAGCCAACGACTTCTTCCTCATCGCTTTGGGACCTTCTCATAAACGCCGGTCCAGGACCACGATCGGGATCGGGATTGTACATGATTGCATTGCAGAACATGTGCACCAGCTCACGCTCGAGGTGAGCGCTATTGATGATACCTCTCGGAGGAACGAGATCGTCGGAGATGGGAAGCCAAACGCTCGCCGTACCCGGATCGCCGCCCGGCAGATTGGCCGCCGCCTGAAGCGCCGCTTTGTTACCTGCCTTGATGGCAGAGCGGATAGAGGTAATATCTTGCGGCTGCAGTACGATCTGCCTATAATTCGGCGCGTCCTTTTCTCGCAGCGCTGTCGCAAACATGTTGGCATCGCGATGGCTCGATATCTGGTCGAGGGCTGACGAGGACACCTTTGTGAATCCTCGCGTCCACAACACATGCGTTGGAGGGCCTTGAAGGTCAGTAGGAGTGTCCTGCCGCTTCCGCTTGGGTGCACGGGTCATACTACTGGGTGTGGCCATCAGGCCACGTCCTGGCATACTCTCATCCGCAGTTGTATCGCCGGTTTCTTCTCGAAGCCGCGGCGTTGCAACCTCCTTCTTTACCTTGGTCACGGAGTGATCTAGTGAGAGCTCATCTGTTTGGGATATCACAGACTGGCTTCTCCTTGTGCCTGTGGCAGACGGTGTTGCGCTTGGGCCACGACTTCTCTGCACTGAACGTGGCGGTCGACCTCGAGGTGTCTTTGCTGGGGGTGTTGCCTCGACTTTAGCAGTGGGTTTCGAGGCGGCCAGCTTAGGGACTGCCTTAACTGCAAGGTCCTTTGCGACGGCGGGCTTCGGTAACGGAGGACTAACGGGTTCGTAGGCCGGGCTCTCCGGTTCCGATGTTATCGGACCAGGAGTGGATGGTGTCGAGTGAGATGCCCATTTCGTTCCAAATCCGCGTTTAAGAGAGACGGGACTAGACGGTGCTGGCGTCCGTGGCGCAGGAGACGCCGGACTAAGACGCCTGGCAGGCCCTGGAGTAGCCGCTTGCCGAATCATATGCTCTGGGATAGCGGGACGTGGAGGTTGAGCCACATATGGTTTGGCCGTAGGAGAAGCAGAGGGCATCGCCCGGGCTCCCTGTTGTGCTGAGGGAGCACCTGGTTGCCATCGCTGCGTTGCGACAGCTCCAGGGGCCCCTTTGTTGGGAATGGGAGAGCCAGCGGCGGTTATCGAAGGTGATGTTTTGGCAGGAGTTGCGGAAGCAATTGCTCGTGGAGTCTGGATTCTCGGTATATGCTGGAATTTCTGAGCCAGTAAGGATGGCTGGGCCTGCACCGCTCTCTGAATATGCTGATGCTGAGGAGTCGTTTGTTGACCCTGTTGCGCTTGTTGCTGCTGAGGATGAAGTTGGGGTTGTTGTTGAGGTTGGATAGGACGGCTTGTTGAGGCTGAGGGTGCTGCTGGCGGGCGAACCTGCTGTGTAGCCCCTGGCCCGGTTGGACGAGGAGGTCCTGGCTGTAGGGCAGGGGGGGCCAGTTGGCCTGCAGGTTGAGGAGGAACCAGGACAGGTTTTGCTGCTGGCGGTCGAGCCTGTTGCTGTTGCGGCTGCGACTGCGGTTGCGGTTGTGGTGAATGTGCCACTTGTCCGTGTGGCGGTTGTGGAGGATACTGAATATGCTGCTGTTGTGGATGTTGTGGATGAGATACTGGCTGTCGTTGCCATTGTTGCTGCGGTGGTAGAGGCTGCTGCTGCTGCTGCTGCTGTGGCGGCGGCGCCTTTTGAAGAGCTGCATTGCCTGGGGAAGAGAGGATCGGTGGCGAGAATTGCTCGGCTGGGAGACCCGGCGTTGTTTGCGGAGGTTGATAAGGCTTCTCCCACTTCAGCGACCCAGCCTGAGCAGGGGCTGCTCCTGGAACGGTTGGGGGCTGCGGGCCAGTAGCCTCTGGTCGGGGAGAAAGAATTTGTTTCGGCGGTTGTTGAGTCGGCGGTTGCAATACCTGGGAGGTTGGTTGTGCCGTGGGAACTCCGGCCGGCGCCTGAAGCACAGAAGAGGTTCCATTTGGTGGCTTCGGCGAGACTCCCTGTCGAGGCGGTGGTGTTGCAGATACCAATTGAGTAGGCAACGCGACCTTGGGCGCTGCAACGCCAGATATCGGGGGCTTCGGCGGTGGGACAGGCGTATTGGGCGTCGGTCCTTTTCTGATGCCAGCTGGGACTGTTGGTGTTTGTGCTGGCGAAGGAGTAGCTCCATTCGAAGGTGGCATCGGAGATGGAATCGATACTGTCGATGACGGTGTTGTCGTTGCCGCCGCCGCTGCCCTTGGATCTCGTGGGGCCAGAGTCGGCGTGACATTCTGGCTCGCTGCCACCTTGGCAAGTCTCTCCTTTTCGCTCCGCTCCAGCAATTGAATCTCTCTCTGCAGTGTTGCAAACCTGCGTTCGTCCTCGCGAATCAGTCCGACCGTGTGTTCTCGATACCGTGCGTACAATCGATTGACTATGGCTGGGATGCGGTCGATATTCTCGTAGATCTCCTTAAGTGTCGGCAGCGGAGGGCTCCCCAGCTTCCTCTTACGCGACCCAGGCGATCCCAGTCCATCGCCACCTGTCGCCGCCCCTCCTTCAGCGCGCTCAGCATCGCCTTTGAGCTCATCTCGCAGCAACCGCAGGAAGAGCTGCTGCAGCGCCTCGGGGGCTAGGCGCGCAGCATCGTAAGTGTCGCCGCTCTTGATGAGCGCATTCCCCTTGAGCAGCTCCGAGATGCGCGCAAACGCCCCGCTGTCGACTCCGTGGGAAAGCAGCGACTGGAACAGGAACAGCGACTCGAGGGGCGTGTATGCGGCCGGTTGATTCATGCCCCAAGGTCCGCCTCGCCGGCTATCGAGGGGGCCGTCACGCTTCGTCGCAACAGGATATATGGGCGCCACGATCTAATCAGAGACGAAGCGAAACACGACGGTTAGGACACATCTCATCTACGTCATTACGAACAATGGCAGGGGGGATGAAGCAAGTGATGATAAAACATACAGGCAGCCGTGGATCCAGATTCCAGTCCCTTCAGGCGGTGGCTTCAACTTCCTTTTCTCATCTGACCCGACGTGGCTGCTCCGACACGGCCTGGTTCGTTTCAATGCGCTACGATCTTCGTTCAACCGCGTATTGTAAACTTTTTTTTGTCGTTCGCGACCGAGTTGTTCCGAATCACGTGACGGAGGATGTGCTTTTGCGAGGCTGCGGAAGTTCGTCGTGGATAATTTTTGGAGATGGAAAGGAAACGAGATTGCAGCAGCGGAGAAACGCAGGGGACAAAGCTTCGATCGCGGCCACGTCACGTGATATCCAAAGTAGCCAAGCCAGCATCAGCTGCAGCGAATAGGCATCAACCATCGAATTTCTCTACAGACACGACGGGAATTGTTTTGTAAAATCATCAGTATGAATATTTAGAATCATGTCGGCACACGCACGCGCGCGGAGCTGCCCTGATTAATGGCCCTTTTATGGCCTCTGCTCTTGAAACTAGTATGTAAAGGAATTCATGCCACCGCCCTCTCCCATGGCCAATCAGCCCATGTAAGATACAGAAATGCATCTGATTTACCAGCCTTAAACTCCAGTTCTCCCGTGGTATCATATCAGCGCTGTAAAAAGCAGAACCCCATGTCTGAAGCACAGTCCGCCTCTCCCTTTCGAGCTCATATGTAGAGCTTTCCCCTGATAATATATGAAATTCCAAACGCCATTCTGTGGGCTGTTCCGTCCCTGTAGTGATTGACCGCACTTGGTACAAAAGAAAACAAAATTATGGTATGGTATGGTTTAGTGACAAACAAGATACAATGAAAAAAAAAGGATGTCATCTTGATGATGTTGTGCTTGAGGTTTCGTCCGTGCTACCGCGACGATCCACACTTGACACTTCTGTGTCTTGTTCTATCGGTTGGCTGGTGAGGCGCAACTTCTCGTCTAATAAGGTGACGAGTCTTTCTGAGTATTGATCCAAGAGGCCGCTCAGAACCGTCTCATTCATCGCTCTGCTCCTGATTGCGCGGTCGCCCAGCGCGGCAGCAGTGAACCGCAACTCCTGATCCAGTTCGCCGAGAGCATCTGGATTGATAGGTTCTGCTGACGAGAGCTTCTTCCTGTATGCTCTCAAAGTACGACAGGTTTGTTCCGTCGCCGCCGTCAAAGATGTATTTCCACGAAGGTTGGGGGTGGAAGTCTTCTTGCGCGCTGCGTGGCCGAGGGCCGGAAGTGATGGCCTGCGAGAGAGCCTGGCCCTTGGGCTAAGCGGAGGGCTGCTAGTATGAACATCAATTCCCCTTCGGCGCGAAGGCGTGTCGTCCAAAGCCCTGCTAGCACCAGGGCTAATTCGTAAAGTCCCAGAGGGTGTCCTGGCGCCGGGGGTATTGGAAGAGAGATCGAGTCGAGAATTGCGCTTCCGTACCGTTCGGATTTGCAATGGCGGCGGCGGCGAGGAACGTTGTCCTGTCGAACCTTCTCGCGGGCGTTGGAATTCGGCCAATTCAGCTTTTGATAAGACTTTTCGCAAGGGTGGCCTGCCCGAGGTGGCGTCTCTCGAAGGTGACGGCTCTCTACTTTTCATCCGCTCGTGAACATCTAGGGACCAAATCATGATTGTCCCGTCAGCCGCAACGCTCACAACACGTCTGCTCTCATCGCTGTCTTCAACAAAGCACACGCCATTGATGGCCTCGGTATGGCCCCATTCTCGGTCCAAAAAGCTCCCAGAAATAGCGTCGTAGAGCCGGATGGATTTGTCAGTATTGGAGGCGGCCAACAGAAAATCAGAGTCTCTAGGCGAACCCTGTTCAATGGATATGGACTCGAGAACGGCGGATTCTATGCTGCTCTCATCCATACACTTGAAGCAGTTGATCGGCCGTCCCGTCAAGATATCGTACTGGCAGACGGATCGGTCTAGCATAGAAACAAACACTGTCCGACTATCCAAGCTCACAGTCATGGAAGTGGGCGACGCCTTGAGAGAGACGACCTTTGAAGGAATGGCAGCTATTGCGTCTGGGTCTCCTTCTTTGGTAACTAAATCGTGAATATGCATTATTCGGTCCCACGAACAAGTCATTACCTTGTCATCCGATGAGATGAGAACTTGAACGACCCTGGCGGCAAACTCAATGGTTTGAAAATGCTCGATATTGCCGCTGGCAGAAGCACGGTGAAATAGCTGTGCAGTGCGGTCCCTACCACAACAAGCCATAAGGAATTTCTCTCCATCTTCATACAGGCTGATGGATGTACAATCAGCCGAGTGAGCTTTGGTATCGAGCAGACACTCCTCTGTAACTGTATCTGTAACTCTCAATACTCCGAGGCGATCGGCTGTGACCAAGAGACGCCCACTCTTTGAGACTTTGACACAGGTCAATTGATTCGGCGGCTCCGGATTGGCATCCGGCGCACTCAGACCCTCCAGCGGAATGCTGATGGACGCTTTGATCTTACCGGCCAAGTCCCAAAAAGTCACCATGCCAGAGGACGACCAGGTCAAAAAAGCCGCCTGCATCTCATTTAACCTGTCCATGGGACAAATTCCAGCCACCGGCTCTCCATGGCCTGGGATATGAATGTGGGATGACGGCTCGGCCGTTTGACCAGGCACGTAGTCCAAATCCCAAATATCAATTGATCCTTTGGCGTCAATAGTGACCGAGTTATTCATCATGAAACCCAAGGCCACTAATCCAGTCGAGGATTGCGACGTGCCAATAATACAGTCATTGCTCCCGTCCATAAGCCTAACAACGTCGAGTTTTGTGAAATTGCCGCCTTTGCCGCCAACATACGCAACATTGCCTCGAATTTGAATGGTCGATATAGAGAACTCCAGGTTGAGAATGCAGACAACTTTCGTCTGCTTATCGTCGCCGTCTAAAATGCACACATCGCCTGCCTCTGTGCAAATGATGAACCTGCTACCGTCGACAGCTGCGCAGCTGAAAGTAGCTTCCAGAAGGCTTCCCAGGATAATATTTCGGCCAGGCAACGTCTTTTGAGACGTCGGTGACAAGGGAGGGTGATCCGAGCCAAACTTTGGCTTTGTCGGAGAGATGCCGGCGTTTTCATCAATCTTCCACATCTTGATATGCCGGATGCCGAGAGTGATGAGTGAGTTTCCCAGCCACACCATTTCTTTGACGTAAGATGTGCACCTATTTTGCTGAAAGAGTTTGGTCTGGCCATTACGAGGGTCTACTTTCCAGACATACAGATAGCCATCGTTTGCGGCTCCGAGGGAGGCGAGATACTTGGAATCCTCGGACCATGCCACTGCGTTAACGCCAAATGCATGCTCACTAATTGACACTAGAGGAATATCGGAGGATGCATCCTGGAGGCTGAAAATCAAGACCCGAGGCGAATATCCAGTCTCGCCCACGGCCAAGTACTTGCCATCTGGACTTAGACTGAGGCAGGTGGCCGCCTTGATACGCTCGCGGCTGGTCCACGTCCTAGATATTGAACCGTCTGCCCAATCTGGCGCACTGTGAGAGTCTCGATAGCCGGCAGCAACACGGTTCCGGCTGTCATTGGCCTTTGGGGCCGTCGTCGTTGTCGTCGGTGCAGATGGTCCGTTCTGGGAAGCGGCGTAGAGGGACGCAACATTGGGGCGAGCTCGGTAGAATCGCTGAGTATACTGGTCGGCGTCGACATGAACAACCACGACGGCACCGCCAGCAGTGTAGGCAAAGGTGGTGCCGACGGCATCAAAGGCGGTGGGTGAGCGGCATGTTGTCCCGACAACTCTCTTGAGCGAAAGGCGGGATTCGAACACGGGTCGACCGCGCAGCGGAGACCTCGGGCGTCGGGTGGTGAGAAAAGGTGAATTGGAGGGGGTAAGCTTCAGCCGGTTGCTGGAGGGAGTCGCCGTCATCTCGCCGCCATGGACAGTAAGACGAGGACGATGTTTAGGATGTAACAAGTCGTCGTCGAGTAATCATTGAGATGTGGGAAGGAGAGGAAAGATGTGAAGAAGAAAACAGCAAGAAAAGCAGAGTCAATGGAAGCAAAGATGAGCGCTATGTTGGGCCGACGACGCCTTGGAGTCGTTGGGCAAAGCGAATTGCTAGATCGGGTAGGACAAATAAGGAATAGAAATGGAATGACGTTGCAGTTGTCTGATGCTCAAGCTCTGCCCAGTGACAGCTGCTTGGTCAAGATGGTGAAAGCTATCAACATCCATTGGGGGTCAGCGCATGCTGCATCTAGCGGGGCAACGCACAGCACAGCACAGCACAGCTCATGGCTAGGGTTTACTCACAGCGACTATGAAGAGAAGAAGAGCAAAGAAGCATCGCCAGAAAAGGGCAAATGCAAATGGAATGCAAAATGGGGAGCCTCGGCGAGTCGGGGGCAGCGGCATGTACAAGTAAGATCTGGGCGGTCGAGCTGAGATTTCGACACCGGTCTCTGCCTGTACGAGGACGAGCACCTGGATTTGCCCGTGCTGAGACTTTTTTTGGTTCCCGTGCTACCGGTCGGTTCCCAAGCAGGAGCGCCTCTTGCCGGCGCCACTGCAGTGCAGCCACAAAAAGAAAAGCAGAAGAAAAAAAAAAGAAACCGGTGAATGAAAAAAAAAAATTGAGTTCCGATGATGCAGGTCGGCAGGCTCCAGCGGCTCCAGCGCTGCAAAATGCGCTACGAGAGTGGAAGAGTTTTGGAGACAGCTTGCCGCTACTTCGATGGTTCCCGGGGGCCTGTGGAGCACCGCTTAGAAACGTGCAAGGGGTCTCCAGACAATCAGGAGAGCTGCCAGTTATAGCAGAAGGCTGGAGCGCTGGAAGCGCTGAACAGCCCGCTAGGGAACCCGAGCTCAGGCAGGGTGGAGTGGCTGGACGAGAGGCTGCCCTATCGCAGGCGGCCGTCAAAGACATGCAAATGGCGCCCAAGAAACCCAAAAGCCCAAGAAGAAAGACCCCTGTTGCTGGGACACCGAAAAAGGAGATGGGCGAGGCGCTAACGGGGCATGGATAGATGGTTTGTTCCCTTTTGCGGCAAGGGCCAGTGGTGACGGGAATTGTTGATGCTGGAGGGCAATGATGGAATGTTAAATGAGATTGAGCGGGCGTGTACATGTTTTGTAGCTCCAAATTTCAAGCTCATTTGTATATATGTACTAGTGAGTACATGTATTACCATACCTAGTAGTATTTGCCCAATCAATACCTCAATTCTACACCTCTGAATCACCCCCGTCCAAGTACAGTGCATGTACTCTGTGCTATATGCAAACACCCGTGAATATCATCATCACCATCACTAACCCACCAAATCTCTCCAGACAACAGCCTAATCTCGCTGGATACCACCATCGTGGCGCCTCCAGTTCCCACAGCCAATGTCGTTTGCGTGATTCCGCCCCTCGTTTCCATGCGGCAGCATCTCAACAGGGTCCCGGGGTTCGCCGGGTCAATACAAACGAGAGCGCGTCATTCGCCCAGCCGCACAAGGACAAAAGTAAAATGACGACGGGCCCTGTCCACCAGCCTCACTTTATTACTGCTGCTGCATGTCTTATCCAACGGAGATTAAGTGTATCCTTGTCTCGACAATAGCATCTAACAATGCCTGGTCAATCTTGCAATCACGGGGCCAATAAGCCCGCTCGTGCCAAAGCCAGTGGTTGGCGTCTTGTCTTTCATATCGACTTACACCAATTGAGCATCTACAGTATTATATGGCGGCCTCATATCCGTACAATGGGAATTTCTCTCCATGCCATACCATAGATCAGCATCCTTCATGTCCGCACCCACGCTAGTTTATTGCGCCGTCACCTTTCAAAATCCGATAGTCCATAACACCCCAATTGCCTTTTTCCCATTCCCCTGCCCCTTTTTTTCCAGCCGTCGCCCATGCACCAAATCTCATCACGCCTCTCGACTTACGAGCATTAATTTCTTCCTTTTCCCAGTACACACATGGATATGCGCCACAGAACTCCGTGTTTCTCACCTCCAGTTGACATGTCTCTTACGCCAAGCAGCAATCGTTGACCATGGCACCGCTTCAGGCTATAAAGACGCGGATCTATCAAAAGATCCCGCCAAAAGAGAGATCAATCTCAGAGAGGCGCAATAGCGGAAGAGCACCCTTGCATGACCCAGGCAGTCGGACAGCGGTAGTGTGGTGTATCAGATCCATTCAGTGTCTTAAAACGTGAATGACATGGACGCACCACCTACATGTAGACGGCATGAAGCTACCAAAGTAGATGTACGCATAGGTACCTACCTCCAAACAACATCAGCATCCAGCATACTACGAAGTGTAGAAATCTCGACACACGGGCACCAGACAATGTGACCCTTACCGGATAATATATCCTCCTTCAAGACATTATCAAACCCCTCCTCTATTTTCCATACCCTGTTTCAGCCTCCTCTCTAGTCTTCCGTCTCCCCTGCCCATCTAGTAATTCCCAACCCTATTCAGTCACCTGAAATCCAAACTCCCATTGATGCATCTCAATGTCTCGCTCTTTATCACCAAAAACACTAGCATTCTCTTCGAGCCCTGTTGCATGACCTGGTTGGTTACCATGGTAGTCGCTGTGGTGAGTAGAGTAGCGTGGCCTTAATTCTACATTGCATGGATGGCCTCCCAGCGCATGAGATTGAACGGCAGCTTATGCGATGACTGTGACGGGCGCTGCGTTACATCAAAAATAAGTCAACGAGTCCTCTAATCACATCAGCACATCAGCACATCATCTTCATAACCTCAACATCATACAGCCGTGCTTGAAACGCTTCGCCATGCATTTGCCCTCTTGTTGCTCAATCATCCCCATTCAGCAAGCCAATCATACAATCCAACACCACATAGACCACAATACGGTAAAATCATATCGTCTTTTTTTTCCTTTTCCGTTCTCCCTAAGCCATTATATGGGGTTGGCGACAATTCAAGGGTCAAGATGGGACAGACGCGCTTTCAGTGAACAAAAGGGGATTTAATACAAATGGCCTTTTTCACAACCAACACCATGACTTTAGCCCCTCCCCCACATCTAGATGACTCTGACTGTTGTACAAGCTTTTTACGCCTTAATTCCCCCTCTATACCCGTAGACCCAGCTCCTCAGCATAAGGCAGCACAAACAAGTCACCAACGGTGGAGACTGTCGCCTTTCCGTCAAGGAGAGCCTTGGCGGTCTAATTGAGAAAAAAACAAAGCATGTCAGCATAGCTCAAAAAGTAGGTTGGGGGACGGGGAAAGGAGGGGAAACAATAAGTTACTCACCGTCTTCAGCTTATCGGCAGTGACAGCGTCGAGGGACTTGGTCAGGGCAACGAGGTCCTGGACCTTGCCGTTGTGGACGAGACCGGTACCGGCCAGCAGAACGCTAGAGCCACGAGTGCCGGCCTTCTCGAGCAGGTTGAACTTGGCGTTGGCGACGGCCTTGGCCACGTCCTCCTTGCTGACTGTGCCGGCGGCGATGGCCTTCAGGGCCTTGACGGTCTCCTCAGCAGCCTTGCGAACAGAGGCGGCGGCACCGGACAGCTGGACGGTCAAAAGACCAGCGTCAGAGTAGGCCTGGTTGGAGGAGACAATGGAGAGACCAGGAGTTCCGGCAGTGGCCTTAGACAGGAGGCTGAAGCCAGGGGCCCACTTGATGGTGGACTGACCACCGAGAAGGGTAGCCAGAACCTCGATCTCGGGCTTGGAGCCAGCGGCGTCGGATCCGGGGAAGGCAATCACAACGGCGTTGCCAGCGGTGTGGCTGGTTCGCTGTTCACCACCAAAGTACTTGGAGGCCTCGGTCTTGAGGGTCTGTCCGCTGCTGGCGGTAGCAGGAACGCCCTTGAAGAACTGGTCAACCCACTTGGACAGGGCCTGCGAGCCGGCACCGTCGGCGACAACGGCAATGTTGGGCTTGGAGTAGACGACATCGGCGAAGCTGGCAACGTACTCCTCGTTGACGTACTTCTGGAAGGGAGCAGTGGTGGAGGGGTTCAGGGCGGCACCGAGACCAGAGTGGAAGGCCACGGCGTGAGCGTTGTCCAGAGCGAGGCCGGCAACGTCGGCGTTGACGGCGGCCTTCTTGTAGGGCAGGACTCGTTCAATCTCCTCGTGGAACTCGTGGGCTATATGAAAGACAAATTTTTTAGCCTCCGTCGTGAAGAATCAGCTTTTTCTAGATTTTGCGATCCGGCCATCTCTTACTGGTGTACTTGGTCTGGGACACAACCTCGGCCAGGAGCTCGGCGAAGTAGGGCAGATCATCGCGCAGGAAGCTGGCCTCGATGACAAGGGCCTCACGGGTGTGAGAGGCAGTCAATTGGCCTCCGAGAAGCTCAGACTCGCGGGCAATGCGCAGGGCAGATCGTCGCTGGGTGGTCTAGAGCCGATATAAAATTAGCTCAAGCTCTGCCAACGAGCCTCGAAAAAATAGCAGAATGCGCCCGTACCTTGAAGGCAAACTGCTCCAGACCATAGGTCAGTCCGGGCAGAGGCTGGTAACGAGTTCCGGCCTTGGCCACAACCGCCAGCGTCGTGGTCGGTCCGTGGGCATCCTTGGAGGCAATCTTCAGCCCACTGACATCGGCAGTCTCGTACGATGCGGTTGGGGCAGCGGCAGCAGCATAGCCGCGGCGAGGCACGGCGCCTGACCGGCGGGCGGCCTGTTGCACGCTTCGAGAGAGAGCCGATCTCGAAATCATGGTCGAGGGTGATGGCGTAGTCAATTGACGGTCCTTGAGGCGTCGTGATGGAGCAATGGATCGCCGAAAAAGAAGTGCCTCGTCGTGCAGCTATCCGTCTAATTTTCGGCAGCCGGGGAGAGGTTGGCTCGGTCACGTGATGCGCCGCGGATATCCATCTTTGCGCTCCAAAGTTGCCTCTTGACGTCGGTTTGTAATCAGTAGCTTGCCTTCTTTTCTCTTTTTCTTTTTCTCTCTCTTGTCATTGTCTCTTCTTTTCTGGCAAGAGGAAATAATACCATGGCATCGCTCAACATGCACAGAGCAGCGTCGCGATTCGTCGCCGCTGCAATCTCGAGGCCACTGCCGGCATGTCGAATCGCAGTAGCCTCTCAGCGGCATCTCAGCACCAGCATGCGGATCCCAGTCATTGCCGCATCACGGCCTCACACAAGGAAGACACAGCGCCCTATCCCGAGCGGCGTACGGACAATCTTCATCCAGACTGAAAATACACCAAACCCGGATGCCCTCAAGTTCTTACCGAACCACCGCATCATCCCGCCAGACATGAGCACCCCGTTTATAGAGTACCTAAACCCGCGAGCTACGATTTCTCCGCCGCATCCTTCGCCATTGGCCGCGAAGCTCATGAACATTGACGGCATAACCTCGGTCTTCTACGGAGCCGATTTTATCACTGTAACCAAGGCTGGAGACGCCAACTGGGCTCATGTGCGACCCGAGATCTTTGCTCTCATAACCGAGGCTATCACTTCCGGCGAGACTATAGTCAATGTCGCGGAGCGCAAGGGGGATGACTCCGCGGCTGTGGAAGAAGACAGTCTGGCTTACAACGAAAACGACAGCGAGGTGGTGGGCATGATCAAGGAGCTACTGGAAACGAGAATCCGCCCAGCCATCCAGGAGGACGGTGGCGACATTGAATTCCGCGGCTTCGAGGACGGCCAGGTGCTGCTAAAGCTGCGCGGAGCTTGCCGGACATGCGACTCAAGTACGGTGACATTGAAGAATGGCATTGAGGGCATGTTGATGCATTATGTGAGTCTAACCAAGTTGCCGTTACCAAACAATTGTTCACTGACCGTCGGGTTCTCCTGTCGCATAGATTGAAGAAGTCCAGGGAGTAAAGCAGATCCTGGATGAGGAAGAGGAGATTTCTCTGCAAGAGTTTGCCAAATTTGAGGAGAAGTTGAAGCAGCAGCAGAAGGCAGCCGAGGCATCATGAAGCCTGGCTCAGACTGGTGTTCTGTCTGCAGGGCAGTCTGTACGTTAGGAGGCATGACATGTAGAAACGCAAGTAAAGTAAAACGATACCCTCACACGCATACACCTAGGAATATGCATACAAAACTGTAAAATCACTGTAGTCACAATTCCTGCATTTTTACCCATATTTGCCTGTACAGTTATTTTCTGATGCGCATGTATGACGCATTCGTGGTGTATCAACTTGGAAATCAAGAGGATATAATTGGAGGTTCCAAAATATCCAGCCAAAGACAAGGCTTAAAGTACCTGCAGCTGCCAACCCGTCCACCACCACAGGCAAAGGTACCTGCTGCCTTACGCTCTGCGCTGCCCCACCTTCCCTTTTGGCTCACCACTTGCCCGCAAAAAAATTGGCGGCCCATCCTGTAGCTCGCAAAACACATCACTGAACCGTCAACTTTTTTTTCCGCTTCATCTTCACTTTTACTCGACCAACGCTGCGATTTCCTCCCAACACCTTTCCAACCCTATCGGTGCACGAGGAATCTGGATTTGTTGCAGCACAAGTCAATGACTCCGAGGTAGCACCTGTGGCAGCTCTAGAGATAGTGAGAGGATCTCTAGGAGCAAGCAATGTTCGTCGTTAGTCACACTCGTCGTTTGCATCGAACCGAGATGGGAGGAGAAAACAGGCTGACTCCAGCGACATATACAGACTAAACATGCGGCGGAGCTTTGCGCTCTCCTAGTCAATGATCTCTACGGCGAGCTTCCTTCGGTATGTTCCAAATCTCCATCCATTGGCGCCGTCATACGATACGAGGACCAGCGCGCTCTGCGCTCCAATGTTGATAAAGGCTGACTCTGTTTGGTTTGGCATTGTTGTAGCGAATCCTCGCCGCGCTCTTCACAAAAGGCCGATCAACCATCACACAGCTCGGGCTCTATACGCAGCTGGGCCCCCGCCAAATTCGCAATGGCCTGGGCGTCTTGATCCAGCAGAATCTGCTATACCACCACACCGATGCCGACACCAAGCGCACTACCTATGAAGCCAACCCCGGCGCATGCTATAACCTAGTTCGATCTGGCAAGATTTTGGAGATGATTGAGAGTCAATACGGAAAGGCAGAGCGCGACCTCGTGCAGACCCTTCTGCTTCTTGGATATGCAAGGATCGCCGAGCTGACTCACGCATACGTATCCCGAGCTCCAAGATCAAACGGGCACGCAAATGGCAATGGTGTAAATGGGGCTGACTCTGGTCTTATTGAGTCGGAAGCTGAACTTCACAATGTGCTGAGCCACTTGATTCGATGCGAAATCATTGAGACCGTTAGGCCGCAGTCTTTCCGCAATCCAAACGATGTTTATCACGAAATTGAGGCGGAGGTCACCAAGACGGCCCCTGGTGAAAAGGCAACCAAGACGAAAATTGATCAGCAAAGGCAGATTATGGAGCAATATCGAGCGTTTAAAGATCAGCCCAAGGCTCTGAAGAGGCAGCTTGACCAGTTCGGTGGTCCCGTAACCAAGAGAAGAAAGCTCGGGAACGGATTGGGAGAGGAGGATAGAGCGATGGAGGACGATATGCCACCTCTTAATGTAAGATTCCCTCCTTATCTTCCCGTGTTGCGAGTACATTTGTCTAACTGAAACCCCCTAGCCAAACGTGGTTGTCAGGGTCAACTATGACAAGTGCCTAGTTGAGCTGCGTAGCCACCGTCTAGCCAGCTTCGCCAAGGACACTCTGGGAGAGGTTACCGGCGAGGTCTATCGCACGCTGCTAGGCCTGCTTACCATGGATGTGTCTAGGTGCCGGGCAGATCCTTTCCTGGGAGAAGAGTCAATTGCTCAACAAGCGACAGCCACGACAATGGATGTCTACGAGCATCTTGACGAGTCGATCAACGTCACAACAGGCATAGGGAAGGCCCCTAAAGATAAGATAGATTACCAGAGTGCAGAGAAGATCAAAACCGCGCCCGCCGGCAACGACTTGATGGCTGATGACTCAGATGAAGACCCATCAGGGCCGTTTGACAGCGATGATTCGGACGACATGGGCACAAAGGGGAGCTTTTCCAGAAGATCTCGGTCGGTATCCAAGACCAATGGAGCCCGACCAACCAAGGTGACGTTTGAGGATGCAGCGACATCGACGGATAATCGTCTAGACCAGATGCGCGCGCATCTCCTGTTACTAGCAGAAAGCAAGCACCGCTTCGTTCGCCACTGCGGAACACAAGGCCGCGGGCAATGGACAGTGGATTTCGACCAGGTGATGGAGCGCCTTCGAGAGACGGAACTGGATGCCTCCATCGAGCAATCCTTTGGCAGGCATGGACTCCGCCTTACCCGCATCCTCCGAGAAAAGGGCAAACTAGATGAAAAGATGCTGCCTTCTGCGGCGCTGATGAAGAAGACGGACGTGCAGGCCAAGATGCTTGCCATGCAGATGGCTGGGCTGGTGGACGTGCAGGAAGTCCCCAAGGACAACACAAGAGTGGCCAACAGGACGCTCTTTTTCTGGTTCTTTGACCGGGAACGAAGCCAGGCACAGATCCTGGATGACTTGTACAAGGCAATGGTTCGCGCTCTACAGACACTGCAGGTGGAGAGACACAGGGAGCGGAACATTCTGTCCTTTGTCGAGAGAAAGGACGTCATGGGAAAGGAGGAAGAGGTGATGACGGCGGAGCATTACAACAAGTATAACAGGCATTTGGAGGAACAGAATAAGCTTCTTGGACAAGTTATGAGACTGGACGAGATGGTGTCGATATTCCGGGAATACTAAAGGCATTGTACCAATATAATTGAATTCAATCGTGTGTAACTGCTGCTCTAGATTGTCATTTCCATTCATACCTGCCGGTAAAGCGAACATATATGTCTTTGGTCTAAAGCTGCTGTCTAAATTTGGAATGCTGGCAGAAGATGTACTTCAACAGTGTGTTTGTTAAACTGTCTTTTCTTGCTCTTTTTCTTTTTTTTAAGAAGAAATTGGCATAAGTATTACCTACCTGTAATAAGTGCCTCCTCAATCTGCCACGGCACTAATTGTCATTGTCATGAGCATCCTGCCGTCTGCTATGTCGGCTATTAAGCCGCGGCAGGGGAGCTTTAAGACAGCGTCTCTTTTAAGACCTCGGTCTCATAACTGCTCCCGACACAATGCGGCTTCAACAATGGCGCGGTCACAGGCTGCCGAAATGCCTGGGTACCCGTAAATATACGGGTCTTTGCTCATCTCACATATCCAAACGAATTCTTATTCCTTCTTATTCCTTTTTGTCTTTGATTGTTCTCTTTCTCGTCAAATCGCGATTTTGCTGGATACCTCGAGCAAAGTAGCTCTAATTTCCAGGGTAGCGCCACGTTTAAACTGAAAAAAAAAAAGAGAGTCAATATCAGCCAGAAAAGATCGTCCGATACAGCGCAAATTACCCCTCCAAACGGTCGCTACAACCCCGCTAAAGCCACAGCGCCAAACCTCTCGCGTGCCCGCCGAAAATCGGTCCCAGTGCTAAAAGTCTCGACCCAAGGTTCCTTATCGGCCGCCCGAAAGCGTCATAAGATATCCAACAGCCAGAAAAAAAAAGTTTCCCATCCCACAAGCAAAATATTCGGCGGAACCTCTCTCTTGGTCTTCCCATCTTCCCTTTCTTCTTGTGCTTGTGCGAAGGGGTCTTGATTTGTTCTCTCTCTGTTTATTTTCTGTATACCCTTGGTATTGTGTAATTTTCTTATCCTCTTTTTTACAAACCTTCTTTACAAAATGTCACCACCGGCCTCTGGATCGTCGAAGGAGTCAAACCTGGCTCGCCTGCTCGGCTCAGGTATAGAACAATTTTCTCTTGCGCGCGCCCAATTGCGAGCGCCGACAACGAATTGTGACTGATGAATGGATTTCAGGCTCCGCTGGTATTTCCGAGCTGGCGATTTTCCACCCCGTATGTCGTCCGGAAGGAATCGCAGAAGCTATCGACGCCTTGACTGACGAATTTTTTTGCGCTCTTAATAGGTGGATACGATCGCGAAGCGATTGATGAGCAACCAAACCCGAGTAAGGCCGCATTCACCACATCCCCCATTCTGCAGCAACATGCGCGGCAATTGAAGGGGGAGCGAAATCCATGAATTCCGAATCATCCAGCTGAACATGATCGCAGGTTGCCTCCGCCAGCCAATTGAACCAGGTCATCTTCAAGGACAAGGCCTCGGCTCCCTTTGGACGAAAGTTTGTGTCGCTGTTCCCGGGTCTGGGCTATGCCGCCGGCTACAAGGTTCTGCAGAGAATATACAAGTACGGTGGCCAGCCCGTTGCGCGCGACTTCTTGGGCAAGCACTACGGCAAGGACTTTGAGAATGCCTTTGGCAAGAAGACCGGCAAGGCCATCATGCACTCGACTGCTGGCAGGTAGGAGAACTCGTCGATCAAGGTGTATTTCTGACATTCTGTTGCTGACTTTGCGACAGCTTGATCGGTATCGGAGAAATCGTCCTGCTGCCCCTCGATGTGCTCAAGATCAAGCGCCAGACGAACCCCGAGGCTTTCCGTGGCCGTGGCGTCCTTAAGATTGTCGCCGACGAGGGTTTCGGCCTGTACCGAGGCTGGGGATGGACTGCTGCTCGTAACGCTCCCGGATCTTTCGCTGTAAGTCACATCTACTTCTGCCTTTTTGGGTGAGGCACTCGAGTGATTCCGTGCTGACGAATATACCCGATCCAGCTCTTCGGAGGCTCTGCTTTCGCCAAGGAGTACCTGTTCCACCTTGAGGACTACAACAAGGCCAGCTGGTTCCAGAACTTTGTCGCTTCCATTGCTGGTGCTTCGGCCTCGCTCGTCGTCTCTGCTCCCCTCGATGTCATCAAGACCCGAATCCAGAACCGCAACTTTGACAACCCCGAGAGCGGCTTCCGAATCCTGACCAACATGGCTAAGAATGAGGGTCTGCCCAGTTTCTTCAAGGGCCTTGTTCCCAAGGTACGCCCATTGATACGGTGTCGCTGATGGCTTTGCTTCTGCTATTGCATGCTGCTTTGTCATCCCTTTGGGGATGCAAGAGGCGAGTTAATCGCAGTAGCAAGCCTTCATTCACACACACCCCTCCCCCCTCCTCTCTACTAAACTGAGACTGACATGAAATGTTTTGCAGCTGCTCATGACTGGACCCAAGCTGGTCTTCTCTTTCTGGCTTGCCCAGACTTTGATCCCTGCTTTCGACACCATGTTCGCCAAGCAGCAGCCTACCCCCGCATAAACCAACACAACCTGTACAACCTACAAATGATAAATGAAAAAGGAAAATAATTCTCCATTTGAAATACAAAAAGAGAGAAAGACAGAGGGGAAAATTAAAAAAGAAAGAGACAGAGAATACTGGGCTACGGCGTCTTTCTTTGGAGAGTGTTTACAGGCGCCGTTGGGCTCGGGATGTTCTTGGCCGCCATGGATGGCATGTATAGAACGACTCTGCTCTGTGTAGAATTAGATAGTTAGCGATCAAACCATGAATAAGACGTATTCTTACAATACAAAACTACGCGTATCTATCCACTTACACGCTTCGACAGCAGATGAGCGCACAGGGCAACGGCAACGCATCTCCACCAACCCCCCCGAAGCGAAATCTCTCCAGTGACTATCAGATATCCCCAGCAATGGCCCAAAATATTGACGTGGCTTAACGCCATGTGCCTTGCGCCAAATCCTGATTCGCCATAATCCATCACACTTCGAAAACCACAGCCAATGAGTGAATGTATTCCCCCCCTGTACGAGTACGAGCACCGTGGTAAAAGGCATGCACAAACGCCCACCCCCGGCACTTGGTTGCCCGGCAACGCGCCAATGGCGCAACAAACAAAACACCCCTGTCCTCTGCCCGCCTTCTTGATGAGTCCCATCCACCCCAAAAGTGTCCCCATCAGAACAATCCAACCACCCGCAACTTTTATCAAGCCGAACTTTTATGAAAAGCCGAGAGTTGTGAAACAACGAAACACAGAAAACTCCCCATCTTTTTCCAAGATTGGGAGTTGGAGGCGTCAGCATCTGCTTTATCGTCGTTGAAGCAGATTTAACGCCTTTTTATTTCTCTCACACTCTCTGCAGCAGGCTGCACACCGCGATATAATATTTAACAGCCGAAATACGGAATACATAATCCCACCGTCATCGATTCCCTCTCTCCTAGCGCCGCAAACCTGATTGTTGATATTTACGGCGGGCGTTCTACTTTCTCAATCTCTTTCTCGCCCATTGCACGCCGCATTCCATCGACGGCGGAAAGCATGCCATATACTGGGCGACAAGGCTCTTTCGACGGAGATCCCTACCTGAGACATCAACATTCAGCTTCCTCGGATCGAGGACTCATCCCAATGTGCGTATCCCCTCACCACATCAAACCGCCATGTTGCTTTGGCGTCAATTAACCCGTAGCAGGTGGGACGGTGCAGAGTCTGAGCGCGCGCTGCCACAGCCGCCTGTCAACCATCAGTCGCCCAAGCATTCCGCGCGCACAAACACATCGCCGTATCCAGTGTCGAGCGCCATCCAGTCTGCTCATGCTGCGCTGACTGAGCGGGTTCGCGAGAACCACGGCACTCACATACCTCCTCCCGTGTCCAAGCGCGTCAACGACACATCGCCAGATAGATCTATCGCAAAGGGCGCCGGGCCTCACCGCAGGCTGCAGTCGATGGCCTCTGGCTCTGTGCGGGACATCAGTATGATGCTGGAGAATAACTCGGGTACCCCTAGCAACAACACGTCTCCCACAAAGTCTTTTGAAAGATCGGAGAGGGGCGTCAGGCCTTCGACGCCGCCAGGACTCCGAGAAGTCAGCTCCTTTGAAGTACCTCGCACCAGCATCTACGATAAAGAGATGAACCTCTCGACACAATCACTATCAAGCAGCATAACGCCCATTGTGCGACCTACCGTCCGTCGACCGGCACCGCAAAGCATTCTGTCGGAAAACACTCCGCCCCAATCGTCAACCATGCTGGCCTTGCAGAGCATGCCTAGCGGATCACCCACCAAGGAAGCAGAGCCGCCGCTCTCCAACATCACCAACGGTGCCAAGGGAGCAACCATGGACTCTCTGGCATCGCAGATCCTTAGTCTCACTAGCATCGCGAGCTCCCTCCAAAAGGAAATGGCAGCTCTCAGCCGACGCAGCAGAGACAATGCCACGGATCTGCTCAGCCTCAAGGAGGCTACAAACACTCGAGACGAGGATATCAGAAAGAGTCTCAGGGATTTGCTAGGCAATATCAATGAGACTTCAGCCAAGATTTCCTCCAGGGACTCGTACAATGGCGGCTATTTCCTTGACAACAAGCCTCACCCGCAGTCGCCCAACAGTGGGCGAACATACCAAATGCCCCGGATTCCCTCGCCCAAGAGCTTTGCCGAATCTATCGATCGCGCGTCCATGAGCACTCCATCCTTGGTGGGCGGTGACAATTCAGGCGCAATTTCTATTCTCCTGCTGGAGAAGATTCTCCGCGGCCTTGGTACCAAGGATGGACAGGAGTCACTCCTCAGCCATCTCCTTGAGCTTTCGGAAAAGCTTACCGGCATGGCAACTGCTGCCAAGGTAGAAGAACTAGTTGACTTTGTTCGTCTCCAGACTGAGAGTGCCATGGTGCCCATGAGCGTCCCCGGTCATGCTAGAAGATTCAGCCTGGATCACGAGGGCAGCATTCACCATGGCCCAAGCAGTGCCATTGCTCCACGATCGCTCAACAACTTGGACAGTCGCCGGGCACCCGGTTCCCAGGGCATTCTAAACGACGATGTCATCAACATCATTCGCTCAGTCAAGGATAGCGTTGCGGCAGGCGGCGGCCTCACTGCAGAGGTCAAAGCACTTGTGCGAGAACTCCGAGGCGAAGTCCTGGGTATGGGCCGTGAACTCGGCAAGAGACTGGAGAATGTCGGTAGAAACCAAGGAGACAACACCGAGCCATCGCCCTCGGCTAGTAAGGATGAGGTTTCGCGGGTCATTGACGAGGGACTGGAGCAGATGAAGGAGCAGCTCACCCATGTTCTCAAGGAACACCGCCGCCAGTCTCAGGCATCCGCAGCTCTGCAGAAGATCTCAGTCGACTACCAAGAGATATATACTGCTCTGAGGAGAGCGCTCAAGGACAATGATGCCACCAAGGAAATGCCAGACCTGAACAGAGACGACGTCATCGAGGCTGTGCGTGAAGCTTGGGAGACTTACAAGCCAGAGATTGAAGTACAGCAGATTGGCCTAGAGAGGGACGAGATCCTCGAGTGCTTGAAGCAGGGTCTCCAGGAATACGAAAGTCGCAGCCAAATGCCTCCGGCAGCCACGAGAGATGAAATCTTGACGGCTGTCGTCGAGGGCCTGAAGCACTACGTACCTCCCCAGATGGATACTCAAGCGTCCATGTCCAGAGATGAGATTATCGAAGCCGTCCGCGAGTGCCTAGAGGAATTCGAATTCCCAGTGGCCCCGTCTGCGATTAGCAACGAATTAACACGCGAGGACATGCTCCGTGCCGTCAAAGAGGGCCTCAGCGACTTGGATCTGGGAAAGAGCAGCGCTCTTGTGCCGACTCGCAACAATGATGAAATTAGCAACAAGTTGCACGAGCTGATGGACTTTATGAAACTCGAGTTTAGATCCATTTCTGACAATAACGGCCGCGAGACTGATCAGCTCATGGACGCCACCAAGGATGGCCTTGAGAATCTCCGAGTGGCTATTGAAAGCTATGTTGACCGTGCTACTGGAGTCGCCGGCCAAGAAGACTTTATGGACGGCCTCCTCAAGAGCATGGAGGAATTCAAGGAGGAGATGTCATCGCTTGTGTCCAAGGCTAACGCAACTTCTCGAGACCAGCTTCAGACGGAGCTGGAGGGACTTCGAGACGTTGTTCACTCGTCCATGGTTCCTGCTGCTCCCCTGATGCCACAACCCCATAATGAGGAGCTCCTTGACGCTCTACGGAATGGACTGAGCAACCTTCGACAAGAGATCCTCCGACCGCGGCCAGAGACTAGTGAAATTCTCGACGCTCTTAACGATGGCCTGAATGACATTCGAGCTGGCATTGACAGAATCACCAACAAACCGGTTGATCTCACTGCAAACGATGAGATTCTTGATGCCCTCAAGGAAGGCTTGGACGGCGTACGATCCGACATTGGCACCATTCGGGACTCGAGCAACGATAGGGCGGTTGCCATCCGTACCGTCGGCGGTGGCGAGAACGAGAACGAGATGGCGATTATCCCTGCTGATATGGCCAAGCAGAATGATATCAAGAATCTCGAGATCCTCATCACTCAGTTGCGCGCCAAGATCGAAGAGATTAAGCCGAATGCCGCTACCCCCGCCGCAGCTCCCAAGGTGGACCTTTCCCACCTGGAAAACATGCTTCACGATGTTCAGCGGGGTGTTAATGAACTGAAGTCTCGTGCACCAGTAGTCGTCCAAGCAGCGAAGCCACGCGAAGGATCGGAGCAGGACAAGGACGACGCCGAGAAGCCAAAGGAGGGGGAGGAATACGTAATGAGAAGCATCCCCTCCATCTTTACCAAGGCTGGCGGCAACCCGACCAAAGAGGATGTTGCTGCCATTGAGAATATTCTGCGCAACACCAAGTCTCGTGTGGATCATCTGATTGATGGAGACCAGGCGGTGCGACGGGAGCACATCGACACTTTGGAGTCGCTCATCTTGGAGTCTCGAGAGGCCATCCGATCGGTCAACAGGCAGTTGGAAGACATCCCCAACCTGTTCCACAAGGATGACTTTACCAAGCTGACGAAAATCATCTCGGAACTCGGTGAGGGCCTGCAAGAAGTCCAGGAGCACGCCGAACGAGAGGCTAAGAGCCCAGAAAAGGTCAAGAAATCGGATGTGCACGCCGTCGAGACGGTCGTACGCGAGATCAAGACTCTGGTGGACGGAATTGCCGTTGTGGATTTCGCCACGATTACGACCCGGGAGGATCTTGGCAAGCTGGCAGCCGTCATGAAGGAGACCAAGGAAACCGTTGAACACTACCACGAGGCGTCGTCAAAGGCACTTGTTGACCGCCAGTCCGACATCAGGACGTTCCTCGAGGATTTCCAGACGGAGATGCGGAACAAGCTCGTGGATGGCTCTACGGGCATTGAGGGCATCGGCAAGGCGCTGAAGACTATGGGCGAAAAGGTTGAGAAGAACGAGAACGTCGCCGGAGATGTAAAGGACATGTATGAAGCCATGAAGAGCGAGTTTGAGATTTCCAAGGAGGCCATTGCCGGATCTAGGATCGAGTCAAACGAGAAGCTCGACGAAGTTACGGAAAACATTCGTACCAAGATTGACGACAAGATCAGCGAGGTGCTGGCCAAGAACGAGGCGCTCCGGATCATGATGGATGAAAAGTCGCAGGCCGCCGAGGCTCGCGAAATCGTGACCGAATCTGCCGTGGCAGGTACCAAGGCCGTCGCTGATGAGCTCAAGCTTCTGATTGATACTCTGGGGTCGACTGTCACTGATTCCTTGGAGAAGATGGAGGAAGCTTCCAAGATTGTCTTCACCAAAGTTGAGGAAGTGGCCGCGCGCTCCGAAGAGACTCACAACGAAGGCAAGGCCGATCACCAGCAGACGCGCGATCAAGTCCAGGCAGCCGTTGGCAAAGTCGAGAGCAGCGTGGGTGAGTACCAGCCCCAGATTCTAGAGGCAGTCAAGAGCATCCTTGGTCTCGTCGGGGATCACTTTGAGCACTCCAAGAGCATCGAGGACAAGGTTGTTGGGGCCATTCCCACGGAGCAGGCTTTTAGGGCCATGATGCCCGAGAAGTACGACGATGCTGTAGTGCACGAGAAGCTGGACAAGATTGTGCAGCATAATGACGCTGCCGCCCAGGCCTTGGTCCAGCTCCAGACGCTCGACAAGGTGCACCGGTCCGTCTCCGACAGCGCCGCCGAACTATCCGAGTTCCTTTCCAAGCAATCAAGGCACATGGTGGAAGAGCGCGACAACCGCGCCAAGATCTTGGAAGAGACCAACATTGCCCTTGAACGAGCTAACACCGAGAGGGAACATGCTGAGGCTTCCGTCAAGACGCTCAAGGAGGAAGAGGAGTGGCTGCGACGGAGCCTGTTGTCTCTGCGGACCGAGCAAGAGGGCTTGTTGAAGCAGAAAACTCGCCTTACTGGCGATGTCTCTGCCCTTGAGACTGCATTACGCCTACGCAAGGAGGAGCTTCACGAGATGGAAATTCGGGCCGAAGGCTTGGAACGACGAATCTTTAATGGAGTCATGGATCACTCTCGTGTACTTCTCTTTGGCAAAAAGGCCAAGGACGGCGCGGATTCTATGAATCGCAAGCGGGTTAAGAAGCCAGCCGGCGAGGATGGTACACGAGCCATCCCGACGCATCTCTCCGCAACAAGAACCCCCATGGCGCCTGGTCAAACGGGAACTCCGCGACGTATTGCGTCGCTCAGTCAGATGACGAAGAACGTGGCATCGAGCACCATTACAAGAAGCCATAGTGTGAAGACACCAGGTGTGAATGTCAACGGCCACCGGAAGCGCAGCTGGGGAGGCACGCAGCAGAAGAGTGGACTGAGCGAGGAGAATAAGGAGAATGTGAGCGTTGACGAGACGGTGGAAGAGCTCGACGAGGGCGACATGGTCAACGTGACGCACGAGTCTGCGGTGCATGACGCTGCTGGCGATAGCTCAGAGTACGAAGAGGAAATTGATGAGGATGACGAGGATGACAATGCTCGTGAGAGGCACGACGAGAGCGAAGGCACGACGAGACGACGGATCAGCAAGGGCAGCTCTGCGTATGAGGATGAAGACTCTGGAAGTGAATACGAGGAGAGCATCGATGGCGACGAGGAGCCTCACGCTGCCGTTGTTGTTCGGTAGATGATGACGAATGGGAATTAATGAGAGAGCCTTTGAGAGGCTACGAATTGTTTTCGCTTGGAGGCAGTGTTGACTTTCTTTTACTACCCCCTTTTTCTTCTTCTCTTCTTTGCTTTTGCTTTATTTTGCTTTCTTGAGTCTATTGTTGTTCAGCAGGGATGGATAGTTATGAGGAGACATGATAGCCGCTTGTTTGTTTGATACCTGTATGTAGCTTTTGAATGATAATTCACAGTCACGTTATATTACAATAGCACTTTCTCATTGCACACACTTGTTCGTCCTTTTCATCCGAGTGTAACTATTTTTGAGGTTGAGAGTCTAGTAGTTACCAGGTAATTACATCGATATAGGTTCCCTTCTTTCCACTGCTAGAGATGACCCGGGTATCAGAATTCTAAACTACATCGTGTCGACTAGAGCTCTCCTCGAGATATCTCAAGACCTACTTCATCCTAAAATACCGTGCCCGATAAATCGTGCCGCGCAAATCCAATTGTTTCCTCTCTGCTTTTACCAGAAAATTGAGTTTGTCGGCGAAGAAAGTCGTCCACTGGGCCTGTACATAAACAGCCGTGCCATCTGGGCCAAAGATGACGCTCTTGATATCCGACCGGGGAAGTTCCTCGACGTCGCCTTTTCGATTCTTTCCTGAACGGCGATCGACGGGGGAGAAGCCTTTCAGGTATGTATCTACTACTTGCTGGCCGGAGATGAATTCCCCAGACGACATGTTTAGGGCGTGGATGTCGAGGTCTGTGGGGATGAGGAATGTGTTTTGGCTGGGGATGAGGATCAAGTCGTGCGGTGCGTCCCATTCGTCTCTTAGCGATGGATTGTCACTCCATTCGGTGTATGTTGTGGAGGAATCGGGAAGATGATGTTGGGAGACGGGGGTTTGTTGTAGGGGAAGGCTGTTTGACGAGGGATGTTGGTAGCGATAGCCGTTGATGAGGCCCGAGGCAGCAGCCTTGCCGTCGATGGAAGAGTTCATTCCTGCTGCCCACAGGATCTGCGTCTTCTCTTCCCATACTAGAGCGTGAGCGTCTGGTAGATGCGGGATGTGCTGGATCGGCGTCGGGTCGGGCGAGAGTCCCAGACTCATGTTGTAGACCACGATGCCGTCGTCTTGGCTCTGTCCAGAAGTCGCCACCGCAAGGAGATTATCCGGGAGGAACTCTAGAGAGTGCGAGCTTCTCAATAGAGAAGTGTTTGTGCAGATTCCCCAAGTGACGCTCTTGTCAGTCTTTGGATCGTCGGGGGCGTATCTGATGGCGACGATGGCGTCGCCGTATATGGCGGCAATCAGACTGCCGTCCTCGGACTGCTTGGCGTCTGTTCGGCCGGAGTTGTGGATGGTGCAGTTCCCGAGTTGATGGGGGAAGAAGCCCTTTTCCAGATCGCGGCTGGCGGTCCAGTTCCATGTAGTCTTTCCATTAGGATCGAGAATTCGAATCTCGAGCTGGGATGTGTCGTCTGTTAACACGTTGGTGAGGATACCGCCAAAGGTTGGGGGTTGCTTGTTTTGCTTTGCGTCCTCTGGGTTGAGGCTTTGCTGATCTAGATGATGGGAGGGAGGGAGACTTGTGTCGTATATATGTGATGCTGCTGCTATTGCGCAGGCAGCGTAAATGATGCTGGAGAAGTGCATGGCTTTGATACTCTGGTGGAGAGAACGGGCAGTTGGGTTTCAGACGGACAAGAGGATATGTAAGAGAATGGTAGCTGTGACAAGTAGTATGAAGGTAGGTTTATAATGTCAAGTCAATCAACCGTGCATCTCGTAAGATCTCGTCAAAGGTCCGCGCTGGACAACTCAGTCTGTCTATAGCAACAATAACAACGTCGTGTCTGATGTGGTTAGCATAACTCATACCAACTCATGAGCCTCGGCCCCATGGATAGTTGTTACCTCGGAGCACTCCTTCAGGACGGCTCAGCCAGCCACTTGTTGAACCACAGCGTCATAACCCGCTGGATCCTCATGGGAGGCAGCCGCTGTCGTGACACAACATTAGCAGCAATGTCTCACAAGCCTGGGGAATTTGCCGTGTCTCTCCCTAAAATGCAACAATGCGGCACAAAAAGGGGGGAGAGCAAGAGTGACATCAGATGGCAAGCATAAGTCGATGGACAAGCAATATGGCATCGGCCTTTGGCTTGTCTTGCTGTATGCTATTAGTCTATAGCTTTGTGTGTGTATGTGTATGTATATGTGTGTGTGTGTGAGAGAGAGAGAGTGAGAGAGAGAGAGTGAGAGAGAGAGAGAGAGTGAGAGAGAGTGAGAGAATAGTCTAACTGAACCAGCAAACGTCTCATCCCAAGGAGAAGAGTCCGTCCCGTCAGCCCGTCTACGCCATATGGTGCACGGAAGAACCGATCAGCGGCATTGATACCCAAGACAATGACATCAAGGCTGTTCATATCAACTAGATGAAGGGCCGTGCCATGGTTATACATGCGGGCAAGGAGCCAACCTCAGCTCGCAGGGTTATATGGCGGTAAAGCTGGTGGCTTGCTGAACTGAGACCCTTTCTCAAGACATGTCGGGGCGTCGGCGGATAGTGCACCTCGTCCGACTCCGTGCCGACATGTCCAGCCGGCGTTCAACTTTGGGTGTACTGAGTCGAAAAGGATACAGTAGAGTATTCGACACTATGCTATCACATTGATTCCCGGTTTGTATATACAGCCTTCTTTCTCGAATCCATGCTTATACATACGATCGATGCACTGTTGATGGAGGCTGCCATCGTGAACTAAGCTCTGGTGTAAAGAAGAGTTTACTTGTATGGAGAAGCGTGATGCAATATTGCCAGGTCATCGTGCTCTCTGTGAAGCAAGACACATATTATTTTCGAGGAGACTTGCTCCGAGTCATGCATCGAAACCCCCGCGGGGCAAGAAGACTGTTGCGATTAAAAAGGTCGGTGATGGTTTTTTTTGCATCTCATTGACTGCCATGGCTGATGATGATGAGAGATAGGGATCAAGCTGCGGAGCTTGTTGGGGGGTTGTCGAGGTATTGATAACTATGAATGGGTTAGTCAGTGTATGGCATTGTCTTGATATGAGTTTTAATTCCCTCAAGAGGTTTTCCCCATGTTATTATGTAAATGCAAAGACTCTCCATGTGCTGGTGCCCTGATAGATTATGTATTGAGGAAATACAAGAGGCGCCGATATAGTTCTGTACAGTGTGACTGATTGATTTCTTTGGTTAGATCAGCTCAGGAATGTTCTTGGTACGTTGACAACTGTTATTCTAGCCGCCTTGTGCTGCCAAAAGGGATCCGTGATGAAAGACGTTGTATTTTCATATAAGCATTCCATAATAATGAAGCCGGCTTCAACTGTATAAAGTCGCTGTATAGAAGTCACCTCCAAGTATAAGTGTACGTGTATCAGTACCACCTCGCTGCTAAGAGGTGTTAGTGGGGGACGCCAAGCAGCCCCGATGCGGTTATCAGCTGTTGACATTGATGGTGGGGTGTCAAGTCAAACCGCCAAAAAAACAACCTCCATCCACTAACGCATCTCCCTGTGCATCTACACATCTCTCCACATCGCGATATATAACAAAGCGAACAAGGCAAAACGCGTATTTTCATCCAAAGGAGCAAGAAGACGGAAAAGTATTAGAAACACCACTGGAAAATCATGGAGCAGCAGCAACACGGCAGCCTCCTCTCGCCACCAGAACTCTCACCTCTGGAGCAGGAAGTTCTAGAAGAGTATGAGCGGCTATCAACAAACATGAAGACTGTACGTTTTACCAAACAACTTCCCAATTTCCAATTTCTCTATTCATCTAAAGCCGCGCCATGCTAATGGGATGGGATTGCGCGTTTCAGCTGGCGACTTTGCTGGACAATCTGGCGTCGAACCCGACCGTCGGGATTTTGGACGGGCTGCGGGAGCTGGAGCGCAAGACGAGCTTGGCGTTTACCCTGCTCAAGGCGAGTGTGTATAGTATTGTGCTGCAGCAGGAGATTGATTGGGGGGCTGGGGGGGAGGAGCAGGGTGGGGAGGAGGCGAAGGAGGAGGAAACGAAGGTTGAGGAGGAAGACGAAGATGAAGGAGAAGAGCGGCTGTGATGGGTGGTGATGAGGTTTGGCTTTTTTGGGGGGAGATGTTTGGATGTTATGATTAATGATACCCTGAATTAATGACGAGGAAATCTTTGAGATGGTTTGGAGTGTATATAAGGGAGCTAGGGATTTCATCGTCACGTATGGCATTGTCGTGCTTTGTTTTTTACTTGCTTGTAAGATGTAGATTCATTTTCCAGCGTTACAGTACTTGTACACAGAGTAGTGTGTCTCGACATTCACCACTCGCAACTCTTCCCCCTTTATTTCTAACATCCCCTTCTCTCTCTTCCTTTTTTAAATTCCCCTTTTTTGTTTTTCCAAATAACCCGTTTAATATACATTGCCGCCATAGTACACCTTTCGCACATCCACCATCTTCTTGCCCCGTCCGATGGCAATCTCCTCGGGGTCGACCTGGTTCATCAGGGCATCATACGCCGCCTTAACGGAGTTCATGGGGTTCTTGGACCGGGGCATGCGCGCCGCAATGTCGTGAATGCCAGAGGCACGGCACATTTCAAAGATGCGGTGCGGGCAGCGGAGACCGAAGCCTGAAAATCGGCAATGTCAGTATACCAACTCATAGTAGAGTAAAATCTTCTTTTATTCTTCTTACCGGGAGGGCGGGCAAACAGCTCAACGACAGTACCCGAAACCTTGGCCTTTGCGTTTCCGTAAATCGTCCGGTTCTCGTACCGCCTGATGGGCTTCATGTTGCGAATGGCCAGCAGCTGCGCCGTCTCGGCCGCGAGACCGGCCTCAGTGGACTTTGCAATGCCGAGACCCAGGCGGCCGTTGCCGTTGCCCGCGATGGCGACAATGGACGTGCTGCGCACCTTGCCCAGACGGGTCTGGTTGGTGACCCAGCGCTGGACGAGCACCTTGCGGTAGATGGACTGGATGTCCCGCAGCGACATGCCCGTCAGCCGCTTAATCTCCTGGTAGCGGCCGTCGTCGTCCTGGCCCTCGTCCTCGGGGTCGGCGGCCGACTTGTACAGGCCCTCGACGCCGGGGACCTTGCCCAGCTCGACGGCCTCGGCGGTGTGCAGCCGGATGGTGCCAGCGGGGCCGTCCTCGATCAGCTCCAGGTTGGAAGGCTCGCCCTCACCCGAGTCGGGGCCCTCGCTGATCTTGCTAAGCTCCTTCTTCCACTCCTCGTCGATGGCCTTGTCGAGCTTCATGACCTGCTCCTTGGTCAGGATGGCAGAGTCGTCGTCCGACTTGGCTTCGGCGTCCTCCTCGACCAGATACTTCTTCAGCAGCTCGGGGTCCTTCTCGAGATCCACCAGCTCCTCCTCCGTAAGGTCTATCAGCTCTGCGCCGTTGCTCTCCTTGACTCTCCGCAGGGCGCGAACCATGGATCTCGTGAGCTGCTCGCTCGTCTTCTTGTCCGTCAGGTCCGTCAGCTTGGAGCCGTACTTGTCCGCCCAGTCGCTGGGGTTCAACCACTGCGGCTCAAAGGGCGTGCCGTCCAGCTCCGGCTTGACGTCGTACCGCGGGTCCAGCACGGTGTAGTCCTCGATGTACTGCGGCCTGTAGGGGTCATCTCGTAGCCGGCCCTGGAAAATGAGGTCGTTGGGGTCAATGGCCTCCTCGCCCGCCTTGATGGCCTCGATCTGCTCGGGCGTGTACTTGCTCTTGAGGGCCTCGAGCTCCTCCTTGGTGTAGTCGGCGAACTTGTCCTGGCGGTACTTGGCGAGCTTCTCGGGGCTGTTCAGCAGACCCAGGTCCTCGGCCTTGACATTGCGAAAGCGTGATCGCCGCTTCGAGGGGCGGGGCGCCGAAGTGTGGAATTGATGCTGATGCTGCTGCTGATGCTGGCAACCGACGGTTTGCGCGGTGCGGGCAGAGGCGACGCACGTGCGCAGAAGGCTGCGCGCCGGGCGGGCGACGCTCATGGCCAGACGAGGCTCCGGATTGAAAGACTGGGCAAGGTCAATTCGCCTCGTGAGGTGGTTGGCGATGGCGATCGAATCGAACCAGACACTTCCTCTCTCACACGACCCTTGAGATTTTTCTTGCGATTTGCCCAATTGAGGAAACGCACCATTAAAGTGGCTGATGAATGACTCAGCAAACGGTGGAGTGGCTGGTGCTTGTGCAAGCCACTGCTGCTCCTGGGCTCTTCTAGCCACATCACGGGACGACACACGTGCAAAGCAGCTGGATTTCATCTTCAAGACCCTTGAACGGCTAGCGCCTCTGCTGGGAATAAGCACATGCGTTAGCATTGGATCATTAACAGTCCAGGCACCCTGATAGTCCCCCAAGTCCCCTAAAAAGGGTCGCGCAAGTCCTCAACTCACAGACAAACCCCCAGATACAGTACCACACTTCAATCCCATCTATTCATCAATCCATACGTATATCTCCATAGACACTCTGTAGCATTCACAAAACAGTTCAATCTTCCAATAAAAGGACCCTCGCTTCCATCCCCTCGCCTGACACGCCCCCCCAAAACATCAAACGCCTCCGCGCCCCATCGTGAAACGTCTCAGGAGCCCATCCCAGTTTCGACTCTTATCCTCCCATTTGAACTCACGCCCAGTCTATTTTCCATTCTTCCTCTTCTTTTCTTTTCTAGTGCATACTCCAAATTCATTGCATTCACTCATTCCATTTCGTTTCTCTCGTCCTTTTATCTCTTAATTCTTCAAATAATACCATACAGGCGCTCAGAGTGACTGGCTCACCTCCGCCTCATACTCATACCCATACTTCTCACACTCTCCACAACCACATCTTCAAACTTAATAAACAAAATGGGCCAATTCGACTGGTTCAAGAAAATCGGTGCCACCGACGAGGCCGTCGCCGTCCTCAACGACCAGCCCTACCTCTTCACCACCCTCGTCGTCGTCCTCGTCGTCCTCCTCGCCCAGTCCGGCCTGCTCTGGTTCATCCACTGGGCCACCTTCAAGCCCTCCCAGAAGAAGGCCCCCAAGAAGGGCGCCGCCACTGCCAAGCCGAGCAGCGGCGGTGGCGGCCTGCTCAGCAAAATCACGGGGGGCAGAGGCTCTGACAATTCTCGCCGTGCGGCTGGTGGTAGCTAAGCGTCTGGTTTACCGAATATCGCAGGTCTGCTTCAACTTTGAAGGCGGACATCTGCTTCATAAGATACCACACATGTACACTGGGATGGATACCTACAATTTGGATCAATGTTACAACCTTCAGTGTCTAATCGAATCGAAAGAGGGGGCAGCGCCCTTTTCCACTCGACATTTATATATCCCGGGGCGTTTACAGCACAGCACTAGTTGATTCTCACTCATGACTTAGAAAAAATTGACATTTACATTTCCACACGCTTGACATTAAATCCCCCAACATTCTGCTGTAGATTCGCTCGGGCATAGCCATTCATCAAATGTTAAAGATCCTACATCCATCGGCCACGGATCGTGATTCCACATAACAGCGTCTGCTGTAAAGGGATGCTCATACTTCCCTTCGCCCATGAGCGCCTTACCATCCATTCCAAATGAGTTGAATGTATAACTCGACTCCGCTTGGGTGTAGCAAATAGGTGATCCTGGTAAAAGTGAGGCGCTGCTTGCCTGTACCTCCGGTAGACTGGTTTGTTGAGTTTCGAAGAATATGGGGTTGTGTTGTGGCAGAAGCGTTTGCTTCGCCTTATGGTCATCTATCTTGCTGTGCATACTCGTCGGTGTCGTAATCGATCCTATGCCTTCCCTCTCTTCTTTCTCCACGACTAGTAATGGAGTGCTGTGCTCACAAAATCCACTTCCTGAATCGGGCTCTCCATTCGACGCCAATCTCTGAACATCGTGACCTCCTTTTCCTGGTAATTTTGGTATCTTGACTGTCGATAGCAAGACATCCCACGTGCTTTTCTCAATTCCTCTTATAATACGGTCATTATAGTCACATCCCACGTCAGCCACCTGAGCTACAAATGAAGCAGCCTTTTGCCGAAGACTTGGAGATTCGGCATTCTTCATTCGTGCAAGTGAGGTGGCTATGATGGGAAGTAGAGAGGCCCTATCAGATATAGTCTGGCGAAGCTATTAGCGCGGGATACAAAAGGCACCACGCCCTTTTTCGAGAACAAGAAAACCAACTGCTGGAGGATATCACCTTGAGGTATGGCCTGTTAAACACTGCGGGCGCCAACCGCATCAGACACTCCGCATGAGTACGATCACTTGTAGTAATTCCTCTGTACTGCTTGCGTGATCCGAGAACAAGTATCTCCAAAGCAACCTCAAATAGTTGCTTGAAACTCTCTGAGAATTCAAGTCTTCCACTGGTTAAACACCTCGGACCTGACCTTGGGGTAGATTCGCTGCGTCCCTGTTGAATGGGTATCATATTCAAGCTTTGTATAAAAGCATCGATTGCCCTCTGATCATCCGGTGTCAAATCCACAAGATACTCATCATCTGCAAACACATCATCTGACTGCTGAGTTTCAACACATTCATCGGCTTGTTTTGTCCGTTTCCTTTTTAATGAGCGTTTCCCCAAGGATTTCTCATCTTTATTCGGAGAAAGATTGATATGGCAATTCACAGACTCAAACTCTGCTGTGAAAGCATCTCTCTGAGTAATCAGTGTAGATGATAGATCCGGATGCTGTATGGAAAACGATATCGTCCCTGGAGATTCGACCGCATCTCTTTCCTGGAGATGCAGGCATATTCCCGCTCGGCTCCAGACCTACTCCTCCAAGTCAGTTCTTCAGGCTATTAGAGTCGTAAAACAAGCTAATTAATATACTTCACGATCTCTCACCCACTCTACAAGCTTTGCAATATGATTCCTCTCCAACACAGGTTTGCCTTGAATCGAGACATCAAGTCGAAGATAGCAAGATCCGGTTCGTGTAATCCACAAATGCTTCTCCGTAACCAGCTTCAACAAGTCGCTACTTGTTCTTGGGACGTCCAGGCCATCCGGAAACCGCAGTTGCAGCGTGCCCCCAAGTGCGAAATCCAGCTGCTGCTCGTTGCTGACAAGAGAGAGATCTGGCAGACTCACGCTGACGAGCTGCATGGCGTCCCTCGTCGTGGAGATGTAAAGATGTACCGTGCGTGTACTCGTGAATCGTGCTTCTAGGGAATAAGATCAGCCTGCCTCGTATGATGGTGATACACATTTAGATTGTAGAATTAATGTATTGGTAGCTGAAAAATGCAATATTTTGGACGAGCTTGATCTAGATAGATACACATATTTTATCACCAGTCACCAAAGGAAGCTGCTGCTGCTCTCAAGATCTGGAAGGAACACTCATCCACCGCCTTCCCTTTGCATTACTAAGGTAGGCTTTGTATATAGGTACCATAAACGACCGCAGTGATGCCCATCTGATAATTGTCTTTGGAAAGGAAAGCAGAAGAAATGACGAATAAGAAAAGAATCCAAACGGGGAGATACAAGGATAAACAGAAAAATCTCGAGTCTATGCTTTGCTGAAATCCATCCTTCGCCCAGCCTGCAGGAAAATATTGTCGCTACCCAAAAAGAAGAAGAAAAATCGTTTCGAAACATGAATAACCCAGTCTTTTGATTTGCCCATGGTGACCTAAAACTCCTCGCCTCAACGTTTACTTAAGCCATGGAAAGATTTTCTTGGTTGGCTCCAAGGCTCCACCACCAGACGAGGAACCCTCGACTTCAAGACTTCGCTGGTAAATCTCCTGTGTCTCTCGTTAGCAACGGCTATCAAATACAATGGGAAGATGCTGTCTCATACCTCTTCATCCGTCGTCATATGACAACCCAAAATTAGCTCTCGAACATTATCGTTCTTGGAAAGGTTTGGATACGGCGATCCCTGGCTCTTCATGAGGGGCAAAAGAACTTCGCCGAGGACCTCAAACTTTTTCCAGTTGATGCGGTCGCCATTGGGCCCAACAAAGGTTTTGCTGCCTTCCTCGGCAGACACCAGGTCACGACGGTGCAGGGGCATAAAGGGAATACGGGGCAAGGGTGAGTTTTCCCAGGCCAGTCGGTAGGCAAAGTGACTCTTCTGTGTGCCCATCAAGATGACCAATCTCGCGAACTTCTTGTGAGTCTCTGGCGAAACTAGAGCTTTTGTTTGGGCGAGGCGGTGGATTGCGGTTCCATTGATTCCTGCCAGAACGGCGGCTAAGCCATTGTAGTTGTTAAGCTGGCGCAGTTTGAGAGCAATGTTCATAAACTTTTCCAGAACAAGAGCTCGATGTTTCGCCTTATCCCGGAGGAGAATCATGTTTGCGACCCACTTTGCGACGTGGTTGAAGTGGTTAATCATGCGGTTTACATTGTTCAAGCTCTTGCAGCTCTCTTTTTGGCTGGCCGGTAGACTGACGTGACGGACAAAATCGCGGATGCGTATCGAAGAAAACATGATCCAGTCGATGCGGGTCAGCTCATCAGCAATATCGTCGTCCTTGATTTCGATAAAGATGCGGTAACGAAACTTGTTCATTGGCAAGTGATCTGTGGGGTCCAAGGTAGCAGCCTCTCTGTCGTAGTCCTCGTATGAGTAAAGCTGTATCTGGCCGCCGCTGCCAACCACCCTGTTGAGGTTCTCCGAGCTCACAGACGGCCTCTCAAAGTTGTCTTCTTCAAACTGCAGAGCGGTCAATCCAGCCGGAAGCTCGCTCAGCTCTTTGGAGAGAATGTCGCTAGCCAGCTGGTCGTCGGCATCGTCGGCGTTGGCCCAGCCAGTATCGTCATCCTCGATGACGTGGAGAGTAAGGTTTCGGTGCATCTGCCTTGCGGCGATACAGAAAATCGGCTCCGTGGAAAGATATCTGATAAACTCGTCCAAGTTTCGTCGCGTAGTTAGACGGGCAAAGTCGCCGGGATACAGCGACGCCCACTTGGCTACTGTCTCGATGATTCTGAGCTGAGTTGCCGTCTTGGTTAGATGGTGAACTGTCTTGTCGTCCCTCACGCGATCCAGCCGCATCAGGATGGCAGAGAAGAGCTCTCCGGGCGCAGCAAACTTGCGATATAGGCAGAGAAAGACATCGAAGAAGTTGAGATCTGCCCTGGAAAGGGGCAACGCCAGGAGGCGATCTACAAGATCATCGAAAGGCACGCCTGCCATCTTTTGCTGCTTCTCTACTACAACGTCATCGTTTCGCTGCAAGATGGGGATGTCGTCGGAATATCGACGTGAATCAGTGTCGGACTCGTCGACGTCGAGGAAGGAGTCGTTTGCGCGGCCGCCTAAGGGGGGCAATGTCAGCGTCGGACCCACAACAGCTGCCATCGAATGCTCAAGGGTGGTGGATGTTGCGGTAAGCTTCCCCGAGCTCCGTACTCCCGTATTTCGGTCTTCCGTAGTAGGTAATATTAATACTAACCTCGGTGTGGACTCCTGGATGCCTGCTTCTGAGCATGGCCATCTGTGACAGGAGTGCCGGTTGACGGAGCCGCAAAGCCGCGGAGCAGTGAAAAGTCGGAGCTGGCACGATTATGCCTTCCTTCGCTAATGGGTCTGCCGGCGCTGGGATCGGGGGCGTCGAGATTCGCGGCGGATTGCGCTCTCTTACGAGCAGCGCCCATCTCGCCCGTCTCATCTAACATAACAGACATGTCAGCACAAGGCGCATCCTTGGTACCATCAATAGGGGTATTATCGCATTTCATACGTGGCAACATACCCCTTCTATGAGCCACGGCGGCCCTAAGAATGGCATGCAGACAGGTGCGATCTATTTCTGGGCTGGTCGAGGATATCTTAAAGTGGGCCAGACAAGATCTGAAGAGGGTATGGTTGGCCAGCTCATCGGGATTGACCTGTCGTTCTTCCTCGGGTGCCTCGCATTTGGTCGCGACTAGCATGGCGGGCATGTTGGAGTTTGTTAAAGCAGCTACAGCAGTACATGTTAGCTACAGCTGAACACGGGTATCACTGCACCATGTGATTGCGTCTCCCTCTGCTCCTCATCGACAGCAGCACGTTGGAAAAGCGCGGTAACGGGGCTGCTCATTAAACATACCCAAGGTCTGAGGAAGTTCGCGGATGGTGTCCTTGTTTGTTACATCGTAAAGCACCAAGGCAGCGTCGACACGGGGTACGATGTGGCCGTTGATCTGCTTCGGCCACTGGATGGGATGCGGTGTGTTCAACTCGAAGGAATCCAAGTCCAGCTCGAGAAGTGTAATCATATAAGCGGCGGAATCGACGACGATGCGAACGCTAGACGCGGTAGATATGGGTGGGCGCGACAGGCCCAGGATTCGCTGAACAAACGTCGACTTGCCGACGCCTATGGCGCCAATGATGGCAATGTTGAAGCTCTCCATGGCGGAGGATTGCTGTGACTGGGAAATGCGACAACTGTCAGCATGGGAGCGGTCTCACAAAGAAAAATTAAGAATGTCTCATCATATGTAGGAGTAGCCAAGGTGAACTGGAGTGAACCCCTGGTTGGCTGCCCCGCGACACACTCCAAGCAGGGGTAGATGATTGAATAAAACTAATTGGGTGGAGACGGGGGCAGTTGTGGTAAGATGATGAGCGTGACTGAGGATTGGTCTGCCAGTCTGCAAAGTTGCATCAAACTCATGCACGCCATGACGCTCCAATTGCGTGGAAGCAGGAGCTTTGTCCCGTAATTGGATCTGACAAGGGCAATCGATATCTTGGCTTTTCCATCTCTCTTTCTTGTCCTTTTTTTCTCGCTGCAGTTTCTTTATTCTCCACGCATAACCTACCCAAAATTGTGATGATCCAATTGTCAAAGATTCTCGACGAGGAGGCGGCCAGTGTTGTTTCTGTTGCCCCTCGTGATCATATCTACTCGTATTACTGCGAGGGGTCTCGGGCGAGAAGAAGGGGATCTCCGCCAATGTCTCTGACTCGAACTCGATTGGCTTGTACGAATCGGGGACGACAGAGGAAGGGGAGTCGAGGCTGTCTAAGTGTTGGAAGAAGGGGTCGTCGACAATCGAGATGAAGGAATCGCGGTTGGGACTCGACGGACGGGGGACAAAGGCGGCGTTTGAGCTAGTGCGGGAAGGAAAGCTTTGATCAGTAGATGCTGCTGAAGCTCTGGACCAGGAGCCAGCACTGCTCGAGGCGCTGCTGAGGACTGAAAAGGCCGAAGGGCGTCGAGCTGTGGCCGCAGCAGTCGGGGTCTCGGAGCCGGAGCGCAAACGTTGGGACCCGGAGGAGCTGCTGTCTGTGGCCATGTAAGTAAGGTGCTGTTGTTGGGATGCACTCGGCTGGACCATTGTCGCAGTCTATCGACGCGACCACGGCGCGGAAACGGACATGAGTTACAAAAAGCAAGGAGGATGACGACGGCGACAATGTGACGATGCTAACAGATGGAGCAGAAGAGAGAGAGTATGTGCGTGTGTTTGTGTGGATGTGTGGATGTGTCAAGAGTGAGAGACAGACTGTGTGAAAAGGACAAGGGCAGGGCGAGATGGAGCAGACACAACGAGGGAGCAGCACGGAGGGATAAGAATAAGAGGAGGTGGAAAGAGGGAGCTGGCGAGGCAAGGAATGGTCTGCAGATATGGAAATGGCCCGATGGTTGGAGGTGAGGAGGGCGGATGCGGATAAGGGAAGGGATTATTGGAGGCGGATAGATGCGAATCCATCCCATTGGGGCCACTAGCGAGTCGAGAGAGCTAAAGGGCACCACTTACCAAGCCCACACCGGGTAACCCGCGAGGATCGAAGCGAAATGGAGAGACGGCCGGGGAATTCAAGGTTCAAGGTTGGGGGAGAGGAGAGGAAAAAACGTGGCCGAGGAGGAGAGCGGATGGGATCTGGGAGCAGTAGGTAGGTACCTGGATGGGATGGGATTGGATTGGATTGTGCGGCGCAAGTATGTACTTGTACCTGAGCTGGTACGGGCAGTGAATCGATGCGGCAGCACCTACGGAGTACCACTACCTAGAGCAGCAGGACTAACCGTGGTGGTGGAGTACTCGTACTGTCGTTGGAGAATGAAGTACCCGAGCTGTACAAGTACGAGTACATGTACTGATCAAAGGCTGAGCGGGCAATCCTCAAGGTCCCCCAATTGCCCGAGCACAGCACAGCACAGCACAGCACAGCACAGGTGAGATGAACAGGCACACAAACCAAACCAGACACGACACGACACGACACGACACGCACAAAAAGCACAGGCGGTGCGACAGCCCTCGTCCATGCTCTGGACCTGAACCTGAACCTGCCAGCCTTTCTGAAAGCTGCCACGGCTAGGCGGCTTCGGTGCTAGTGTGCCGCTGGCAGCTGGCTAGCTCTATCGGCGTGAAAACGGGGCAGGGTTCGTGCTATTGAATGGAGACTAACGATGGGATTCATTTGATCCATTCTGCAGCTGTGACGCCTATTCTTAGACTGTGACGGTGTTGATGCTACCTGTACCTACTGGTAATACTACGGAGCACAGATTTAAGGCACTAGGTAGGTACTAAGGTAGAGTCAATGCTATTGGGCAAGATATCAAAGCTGGTGTCACAACGCCATTGAAGAGTGTATATCCAGGTATATACATACATCCATCCAATTGATCCGTTATCTCAACGAGAGCAAAGGATGGAATGCAATGGAATGGAGCATCTAAACAACAGGCAAAAAGCAAATCGCAAAAGGACCCAGCTTAGCGGCCAGCAAACTAGGGTTCTGACCACTCGCTGGGCCTCTTGGCTCGCCTCCATAAAATGGCACAATCCAAACCAAATTGCCATGCCAAAGAGGGGGCCCCTACAGTACATAATACACGACGATGGCTCTGAATCCTGAGCAAGACTCGGATTATTTCCGGGGTACTGTATGTACAGTACAGCATGAAGAATCAATACTAATGTACGATGGTAACTTTGCATCTACATGGAGTAAAGTCGCTCTGGACCGGTGAGTGCTGAGAACAACCAGGCGATCCGCAAAGAGCAAGCATCAGCAACAGGGGCCGTATGTTTGCACCTGTTAGACTAGTTGAGGGGCATGCAGGCAGGATAACAAGAACTGAACTGATTGCACGATTAGGCGGTACTCGTACAGTAATAGTTTCCACAAAGCATCAAGGCCTTGCAGCGGTACGAGCACAAGCACATGCGAGACGGTGGGGGGAGCTCGCCGACCTCCATGGCGGAATAAGGCCCTTTCCCCTGCTCTCTCCACGCTTGGCACATGTGAAGCTTGGGGGTTGATGCTCGAGGTTGTGTGGCAACACGGCATTGCAGCAGCACACGCACACAGCCTCCGCTTCTGGGGGTAAAGCTGATATCAATCCTGGCCTTGTCCATGTAAGATATGGAGTCTATCAACTCTGTACAGTAGAATATTCATCAATTGGACCTCGGCAGAACAGGGAAAACAGCAACTTCCAAGTATCCTAAAGCACATATGGATATCAAAGCATCCCATGCCATCTCCCTCATCCCACCACCCCCAAAAGACACCAGAATAGTAGTGCCAACCGCCCAACGTGGCACAAGCACACCGATAGATGGATCAAAACGTTTTCTTGGCCGTCCTTCCCACCCCCCCGGCCGCCGCGTTTCTTGGCCCCCAATTCCGAATCACAAAACCCTCGCTCGTCCCGCCCCTTCAAACAAAGACGCCACAGCGCACTGGCAAATGCTGTCAACCCATCTTTCACTTGAACCTTTTTTTCGAGCCGCTGCCATGTGCCAGGGCTTTTGCTTCCCGCGCTGCCCAATTGCAGGCCGTGCCGACGCTCGCATGCGACGGCTAAAGCCTCACCCACGTTTTTCTCTTTTTTTTCTCTTCTTCTTTTTCCCTTTTCTTCATTGGTATATATTCCCATTTCGTATAAGACAAATTCGCTCACTCGGCGGACTTTACTGTACATACATCCATACCTAGCAGCATCTTGCATCTGCAGGCTGTCTACTAGACCTAGTACGAGTTACTACTTCTGCTGCATTACTTTATCCTATCCAATTGGGCCTCGCCTTTGCATCTCGTGCCTTTTCTTTCTTCGCCCATGTTTTCTCTTTTGTCCTTTTCTACTCCGTAGACCTGTCTAGATCTCACCACTTTTTGACTTTCTTCCTGCTTGGCCTTTTCTCCCAGCTATGCCCAGAAACCCCGGCACAAGCTGCCTAGACAGTACTAACAAGTGCCCTTGTATCACTAATCTTCCATCCACGTCCATTTGCTCATCTCGAATCGACTCTGATGCCAGCCCAGAAACCCACAATAATGTCAGCTTTTTCCCGACTCCATTCCCAAGCCCAGCATGCCGGGCCTGCCCTCCGTCACTTCCCCGTCTATCGGCGGTCCCAAGGCGGCAAGGTTCATGATCAAGCGCCCGCCAACACGTGGGATTCTAGGGAACCCCTTCGGTGGGCCCAGGAGCGATGTTTCCCACGGTTCGTTGCGGATTGATTGACGGAATCGCGCCAGGGGTCCATCCATGGTCGTACTGAGAAATGAAAAACTACGTCTGATGCATGGGACGACTCTCTCTGGCTTGATCGTTGTCCTGAGGGGGTGAATACGGTTGGTTACATACCTTGGCCGTCCATCCACCTAACCTACCTGGAGTAGCACTACCTGCGATTGAAGTAGGTAGTACCGTGCATACGAGCAGAAGACATTGACGCTGTCGTCATCGTCCCCATTGTCCTTTGACAGTATACGAGTACTCCTACACATCACGACCTCTCACACCGGTAAATGCGAATGTCACAAGATCATCTTGGCGGCACGGAAGTTGGGATCGGCAATGAAAAAAAGTCCCCGTTTGCTGACCAAACGGACAGTTCGGGGGTCAGACCTATGATTTTTGATCTCGGGCTCGGAATGACGGCTAAGGGTCTGCCGCTTTTTAGGCTCTGACAAGCTTGATGGATACCAGTTTCTTGGTGTAGTGAAACCTCGTGGCCATTCAAACTTAAAAGCATACATCAGTGAGGTACTGTTGATACTCCGTGCCTGTGAGCTGATACCTTTCAATTTCGGCGAACCATTCGGAGTATTTTCCCACGGGTCATTGTATCTTTCATACTTTTTACTCGTAGGCACCTCCAATGTCACCTGAGAGAGTGGATTGGATCAAGCAAGTACCGGCACTGAATTCTGCTGTACAAGGGTTGCGTCCTCCAGGGAAACCCTTACCCGGTAGTCACGCGATCTCGCGATATTTCGCTGTATGGAGTACATATGAGACCTTCATAGGTAGTCGACAGCATGCCGTCTAACATGTCATTTGTCAAGCCCTGCCATGGCATTTTAGTTATAGATCCTTGGATGGTGATTGGGTATCCTAATTGCCATCGTAGAAATAGCGCCCTCCTCTTCACCAGGTTCCCGGTTCCATTGATACGAAGTTGTATGCCGGAAGTTTTATGAGCGTCATCTTCCAAATTAAAATGTGATCTGAATATGAAACAGAGCCGGCTCGCTCACCACTCCTGTCGTACAGCCCTGGAAACTTGCCATACTGAGAACTGAGAACTGATGGTTTCAATGACGGTTGATTTCATGTATCCTGGCCAAGGCCCAGTACATGTACACCTCAAACGCAATATGACGTTTCTGAAATCGCTTATACCGGGAGTCTAGGTCATATTGAGATTCACGAGACTGCCCGCGACAGTAGCGTTCTGTTTAGAGGCGTCAACTACAATCAATACGCCCTGCTTCTAATTTAAACATTGCTCTCATTTCGCTGATGCCGATAAATGACGTCAAAACACCCGGCCTGGTGGGCTGATGGATATTCATTTATTATATGGGTATTCAGGGGCCGATGCAGCCGGCTGGCTTTCATGTGCCGTGGAGACTATGACCTCTAGATCCCAATTGACTCTGCAGCAAATGGCAATTGCATGTGGATCGATTCATCGTAAGCACTGCTGTCCGCTAGAATCGTTGTCGCATGCCAATGACATCTAGATATCTCATAGACGTGGACTTTGGGAAGAGCCAGCCTCGTCGATATACTTACTCTACTACTATTTCGCAAGAGACACTTGTATATACAAGCCCTGATCAACGAGGATTCACATACTAAACGAGCTGAATTCATTCATGGTAAGACATTCCGCTCATTGCTCAGCTCAGCCAGCATCTCGTGGCAAAAATACTGTGGCACCAATGGAACATCTGCTGTCGGCAGGATCTCGCATCGTTATGCCCGCGCCAGATCCACCCTCACATTAGTGGATATTTGGCGGGCGAGATTCGGTAGATGGGATCTACAAAGAGGCAAACTTCAGTCGACACTTCAGCCCGGACGCGTTGATGCATCACATGCGTCTCATCTCTGGAGGATTGAAATTGCGCTCTGCCCAACGGCAGCTGAACTGACTCGAGTGGTGTTCTGGTAATTGAACCTACGATGACAGCTGAAAAATAGCGAGGAGTGACTAGGAGCAGCTGCTCCGTGTTGCGAATCGCCTCAACTTACCGAGGTTGCTGAAATGTCTCTGCTCTGGTAGCTGTGGGTTGGCCTCCATCCCAACGTGCTCCTTATTCAAACAGACAGACATGTGGTGACACCTCCTCCAGATGCCCTCAAGTGGCTCACCCAGCTTTCCATCACGGACTACATAGCAAATTCCGCAACTCAAGCAAAGAATAGCTCAACAAGCCGTCTCTGGGAAGAAAGAAGGGCCATCCCCCGCTTGCAGAAAATGCCAACCCCGCCAAATGTATTCCCAGATGATCAAATCACACACCAGCAATCTCATCTCATCTTAGTCGACACACACAAGAAAACGGCTGGTGGCAGCAGGGCGGAGCCTGAGTGGTAACATCGTCTCTTGCAAGCTGCGTCTCTACCAACCCTGTTGCGCTGGGGCTTCTCCACCTCCCGCGTACACAACATGTCTGGAACTTGGGGGATGCTACCTGAACGGAACGCCCTGTTGGGAGCCGCGCAGAAGGGATTCCGAGGGGAGGGGGGGAAGAGCATTTGCCACTCTTGATTTGTTTCACCTTGTCTGGTCCGTGTCGGGCCTTGAAGAGAAGAAGCCCCCTTGCTTTGATAGTTGCGGATGGAGAAGCATAGTAGCTGGACTGCGATAGGTTGTTCGGGGGGAGATCCAAGTTGTTTTTCCCCCCTCAGATGGCCTAGATCTACCAGGCATGGCATTGGCCTCACGTTAGGGCCGTCTTACCCCAACCTCAACTCAACCTCGCGGGTGCACGCGCACCTTTGACACGGCACTCGAGCGGCCGAATGATTGGACACCGAAGCGGCCTAAATTAAAGCAAGAAAAACGGTGGGCTAAAATGCTGGGGTAAGAAAATTAAAAACGGAGGAAAAGAAGAAAAGGGAAATACTCAATGCCGATCTTGGGTCTCTTCCGCGTACTGTAGAGACATCCAACGGCTTTTCTATTTTGATAGACTGCCAACGGAGCGTCGTATTGCATCTGCCCTTTTTTTTTTTGTATTTTCGCCGCGACATGCTGCTCGCTTATTCGTGACTGGGAACCCTTTTCCGCTGTGACTCTGGTGAGAGAAGCTGTGATGGATCGTAAAGAAGCGCGACTTTTTTGGCGGTTGTCCTTTTCCAACAGCCGCTATCATATGCAAACAATCCTCACAAGACCAAGATCCTACATCAAACTAGAACAAACAAATCAGGTAGTAAACAAGCAATCAAAAACAAGGAAAAAGACCTACAGAGAAAAAAAAAAAGGCCCCTGCACCCGTCAAGTGACCGCAAGCCACCTCCGCAAATTCGCTCGTCCTGTCCTTGCTCTAACTCGTACATACATGCTGTAAGCCCGTCAACCTTACCTTACAGGTTGGTTTCCCCATTTCCCGCCGCTCGCCCGCCAATTGGACGACCGACAACCCCCCCCTTGGCATCATGACACAGGCGCTGCATCTGCTAACCTGACTTATGTAGCTGGGTGAGCCGATTTGCCAGAAGGCCCAATCGTGCATGATGGGCTGGAGTTTTTTCGCTGCCTTGGTTCGGAACGCCCGTCTTGCGACGTTCCCTCGTGATCGCGTGCCTTTTTGTGGGCAGACGAAGCATCAGAGACGGGTTTTATTTCTCTCTCTCGCTCTCCTGCTCTCCCTCTTTTCATTCTTTTTTCTCCCTGTTTTGCTAGACAATTAATTGAAAAGGCGATTTGTCTTGCTCTTGTTTTTGCTTTTACTTTTTCTGGGTTGCTGCTTGTTCGCATCGTATACTCGCATCTGGCTTCCCCAGACAATCTCATCCGATCCTGCTGCTGAGGAATAACATCAGTTCTTCGGCTTCCTACACTTTCCACCCGTATTCTGCTCCTCCAGACCCGCCCCAATCCCCATCGTCCGGCTGCATGACTTTCCAAGGGGTCGCGAGCAAGGAGCTTCTGAAAAACCTGTGTCAGTCAAGGTGGTTATAAAACCGAGTATGTATGTGTGTCTCCAATTTTGGAACCCGCCCCGTTGCTACCATAACACCACACCACACATAACGCCCGGCCGGCATTTATATTTAGTGCTTCGCCCATTCCACTCCTCCTACTCTAGATTTACCCTTTCCATTCCCCTGTTTGCTGATCGTGTTCTTCTTCTTTCTTCTTCTCTGCTATAGGCTTTCTTGTCCCTGCAACTAGCTTCTTGTGCCGGGTTTGCTCTTATACGAATCAACCTGGCTTGAGGAGAGTAAGCTTACTCACGAGAATTCATCCTTGCGTTTTGCCCGAGTAGTTACTGTATTGCCACAAAACTCTCTTACCGAACGGTTTAAAATACCAAAACGTTCAAGTCTGTTAAATGCGGCTCCAGCAGCTGCATATACATACGAGTAGCAGCAATAATACTGGTGCTGCTCAAACTTCTCGCCAAAAACCACCACACGCAAGCGCGCCCTCCTTCGCCATGTTCTACGAGACTCTCTACGCTCATGATGCCAAAATGGCAGCTCACCAGCCCATGCCGCACAGAGCTGCCGCAAAGGCCTCTTCGCGCAACAATCATGCCTCGAAGCCGCAGTCGCAGCGTCTCAAGGCACTCGATGCAGATGACCTGACCAGGAGGCTGTACGTCGTGCTGGCTGAGCAAAAGGCCCAAGCCGAGAGGAAGAAGCGCGCGAGGGCAGCCGTCGAGGCCGAACGACAAGCAAACGCCGCGGCCGTGGCACGGAATGCCAACGTCTTGCACCCTGGCCAGCACGGGATCCCATTGGGGCCAATGGTTGCGTCTACGCAGATACAGAAGAGGGAGGCCACGGCGGCCAAATCACATGTCAGAAACGCACCTCGAGACTCAAACGAATATCCGCCCAAGGCAGAGAAGCTGCACAAGGCCGGCATGAAAAATTCTACCTCATCATCTAGCAACAGGAATTCGGAGGATGCGCCGCCGCCATCAAACTACCGTCACGTCCCGCAGGTTGCTGCTTCGCAATTTGCCCGCACCACAACCACCGAGACGGTGACGGAGAAGCACCTCGTGCACAAGCTATCCAGGCAGGCCGTCAAGTTTCACATGCAAGGCCCCAATGCCATGGTGGCGACGGACCTTCCACCGTCCGAGCAGAGCAAGGCACTCCGAAGGGTGCAGAGCATGAGAGAGAGGCAGTATGAGCGGAACCAGTTCCAGCACACCCACTCGCTCGCCGCCACGGCCGAGGTAGACGAGAGACCCGCGTCCACCGCTCCTCACACATTCCAAGAATATCTCAAATCTAAAAGTCTAGACCCCCTTGACGAAACGAACAAGGAAACGCGGAGGAGAAGTATGGGTGCTCTCATCGGCATGATGATGCCGGCGGATGCCGAAACCGCGGAGAGGTCCATGTCTTCGCTGGACAATCAGTCTGACACCGTGCCGGTCAACCCCGACGAGCACCGCGTGGATTGGACTCAAAGCGACGAAGCCGCAATTCTGCTGCAACAGAGGCAGCAGCAATCACCACCACCACAACAACCTCAATCTCAACCTCAACAGCAGCCGCAAAAGAGCGCAGCCGGCCACGGCGTTTTGCGCAAAGCCGAATCAAAATGGGCCCTGCGGACAAAGCTCGGAAGTTTCAGCAAGAAAGGCGACAAGCTCTCTTCGCCAACCGAGGAGAAAGACACCGAGCCCCTCACCGAGACACCAAAGTCTCCCACGACGAAGACAGGAGGGCTCTTTGCGCGATTCAAGCGTTAGCCAAATGCCAAATAACGAATTATGCCCGACATGATGGGGGCGAACCAACACGTACCTTGGATGATCTGATGGGATGACTTAACGATGAGGATGATGTAATGCATAATATAGGGAAAGGGGGGAATTTATACATCGATTTTTAGGAGGGATGATGAGCCATCGTGAGAAAGGAGGTAGGGGAAGCGAGCCAGTATATGCTGCGGCAAAGTCTTATCGTGAACCATTATTATACCCCAAAAGCCATAGAGGCCGTCCAGGCCTGTAGTCGTCAAGTTTTCTTTCTTTCTTCGTATTTTCGCTCTCCCTCTCCAGTAGCTTATCCGCGACGCCTATCTTCAGCAAGTAGACGCTCGATGAGGGCCGTATCTTGTTCAGCAACCTGTCGCTGCACAAACGCAGCGGCGTTGTTCTGCTCGCTCGTCTCGTTCATGATGTGCAGTATCAGCTCAGTGTACTCCCGGATCGCCTCGCCGTCTTCGCCACTCGCTTTCCGCGCCCTTCGCAGAGCTGCCTTTCCGTTCTTGATGCCAATATCGTGATTCCATGTGCCCTTGCCGCTGTTGGCCGGAAGGCCCTTCATGAGGGAAGCAGGTATAGCCTTGGTGGCAGCATCTGGGGCTTCCACCGGAGGCTGAGTCGCGGCGTGGATCTCGAGGAGCTGGTTTGGGAGGTTGGGATACTTGTTGAAGAGGAGCTGGAGCTTGTCCGAAGTTGCGAGGGCGCTGAAGGGGTTTGTTGGGTCGATGGGGCCAGGCGGAGGCAAGTTTGCGCTCGCCGTTTGCGGCTTGCTTGAGGCTAGGCTTGTCGGTTTGGGCTCTTCTTTCGGAGGGTCTGGCGGATGGTTTTGTTGGTGGGCTTTGCTACATGGGACAGAGCAGCTGGAACAGTAGTTAGTATTAGATCATAGGTAGCTCCCGCCATCATTCCCATTTGCTTCTTTGTCTTTTGCAACATGGCCATGATGGCTGAGGGGTGTGAAACGTACTAAGGAAGACGGCATCGCGAGCATTTGTATTTGCCAGGATTAATTTCGCAGACGCCGCACAGCAGTGCGTTTGTCTTTTGTGTGGACGGTTCCTGGGATGCTGCCATCTCGCTACTATTGCCCTGGTGATGCTGATTTGCGACTGCTCTCGCGTCAGACACGTGCGTCTGCTGGTCGTTGAAGCTATTCCCGCCGGCAGCAGCAGCCTTGTTCGAGGGAGCAGGAGAAGTCGAGGTCTTGTCAGCCTCGCCGCGAGCCTCTGACGCCATTGCTTTGGATTGACAGGTTGTCGCAGCAGGGTTAATTTTTTTTTCTCTTTTGACAAGCGCGTCGTTTGCGCAGAGTGCGAACGTCGAAATTTAGCGCCCCGCCAACCCGAACTTTTTTTTCAAGCTTCAAGGTTCTTTTTTCGCAAGCCAAGCCTTTCTCATTGGGCTTCGAAAGTATCAAAGTACAGCACTCGCACGGCACAGACTTCAGATGATTACTGTACTGTACTTTGCACGACTACAGGGGATCCTGGCTCGAAGAACATGTTCACCAGGGCGAAAATTTTGGTGGCCGTGCACCCTGGAAGTGAATGCAAGTCAGACAGCATGCGAGCGATGCCATTGGTGCAGTTGCGTCATGACAGACGGCGCTGAATCTTTGCTAGCTGCTGGCAGTTCTGCAAATGAGCGTCTTCAGGCTGCCCCTTTTCGGAGCATTGAGCTAATACGACCTGTACATGGGAATACATGTTGACATGTTGACATGAACTGCCATGTGGCGACAGCGAGTTCAAGTTTTGCTGATTTGTGCTTGCTCTCAATTCGCCGCGGGATGAAGACAAGACGGCATGGGTTCGTTCTACATACTTGCACTTGCTGCAAGCGTGCATTTTACCATTATGATGGTCCTCATTGTTCGTCAATGCGAGCTTGCTTAGATGGACGCCACTTGGACGCCTCTGGCCAAACACCTCAATCTAGGCACAAAGTCTGTGGTAGCCGGGCTCCAAGGGAAGAACTGAGACGAATCGTGATTGCTCTGGTGTTACCCATCATGTCTTGCCATGATTGTCACTTTGCGCATCTGGACCGACAGCCATGTCGTCTGGCTTGACTCGTAGCGATATCCCGTAGGGCTACAATGCCACGCCAAGGGATTAAGCTCCAGCTGGTAAGTCTTTAGACCTGGATATTCTGGAGATGTACTCTTGGTAGCCTCAATAGCCTCGACTTGACGGCACAGTGCAGAGGAGCGGGGGCGGCCTGTCCAAGACGCCACCGAATCACCACATGACGGCCATTGAGTGCCTTCGCAAACAAATGTCATTGCCGCGTGGACATTGCCCGGAGAGAGCGTGCGTTGCCCCAGAGGCTGATGCAAATCATGCAACCGGCATTGCTTATCCCCCATCCTTTTGAATATCTGGGGCAGAAGCTCGGCAGAAGACTTTTGACATGTTCGTACCGCCCGTTCTTTTGGCTCGATGCTGAGAGATACTGTGCCAATTGGAGAAGCTGTCGAGGGCAATTGGAGCTGCGGCCGCAAATTGGAGCTTCGTAGCAGCCCGGCTATTATGCATAGCTGCAAGAGTCTCCATCCCCTGCCGCAAAAGGCGTCGCGTGACGCCGTTTCAGCTGCTCGTATGGTACGAGTACCTTGGTCTCTTGGAGCTCTCACCGGCCGAAGGCTTGCAACGCGCTTGATGGTGGCCGAAGCGAATGAGAGGTGCCCGCCGCTATGCCATGCTAGCCCGTCAAGCTTTGGAGCGGAGAGACAGAGGCTTTGGAGCGGAGAGACAGAGGCTAAGGTAGCTAGCAATTAGCATCTTGGACGACGCCAATCTCGATGCTTGCCAGCCAAGAGGCAGTTGGAGCAGGCCAGGTGACTTGGGATAACTCAAGGCGGGGTTCTGGAACCAGGCGAATTGCGGGGTGGCGATCCCTCGATGTCTGGTCGAAAACTGGGGTTCCATCACCTCTTGTCATCTTCTCTCGTGTCTTGTCTGCATCTCTCTGCATGCGGCACGGCGCCAGTAGGTACTTGGCATAGTGCTTCGTAAAGCGTAAAATGCCAGTGGTTGGAGAGAGAAAGAGGACGAGGCAGAGCTGTCCGCAACCAGCAACGGCCAATTCCAACAGCCCAAGCTCGGTGCCCAAGGAAACAGAAAACACTCCCTCCTGTTCTGTTCTCCTCTCTCTCTTCGCTTCTCTCTTCTTCTCCACGTCCCCATCATATGTGGACTTCATTCTCCGTACCGTATCCAACTCAAAACCATCTTGACTGACGGTGGCTGCTGAGCTAAGGTGGCGAGGCTTACAGGGCCCCGCGATGGTTGTCTTGTTTGTCTGCACCAAGTCTAGGCCATCTTTAAGCGCTCTTGTGCCGTCGCCGTGGTGCCCAAGATTTCCTGATGGCGTCTCGCCAGCGTGAAGATGATCGTCGATGGATATTTCAGGTTGGATTTAGTTTTGGGCCTTGGCTGTTAGGGCACAATTCCAGCCGCACCTCCAAAGTTTCTGCCCGCCCCTCCAGTGGGAAGTTGGGAAGGTCGAGTGCCGGGATTGACCTGTAGGGTCGGGTACTAATTCGTACAGTACGGAGTACAAGTACGGGACTCTACAAGCACGACTAAGCGGCCAGGATCCTCTCGCCGGTCCAAGAGCACGCAGGCACGGGCAGACCAGGCACGAGATGTACCTGCGGGTACTGGTGCTATTTCCACTAATGCAGGTCGCTGGCAGGGGCCGGAAAATCGCCAGATTGGCTCTCCGGCAACTGTTGCTGTGTCCATGTCAAGGTATTGATGAAATTGATATGCGTGAGAGCAAGATGTCAAGCACTAAAGCAGGTACATAGCAGGCATGAGACAGCAGAATAAATGGCCATCTTATATTGATAAATACCTGGCGGTTACCTACGATCGTGATTTGGCAGGATTGTCTTGTGTTGTGTGTTGTGTGATGTCGGCGCCTTGTCTACCAATATCAAGCAGGAGGATGCAGGAGCCGAGACAGGGACCTCTTGGACTGCATGTGCCATGCTCCAACCAAGCGGGAGTGGCAGGGAGTCAATAGATGCAGAACAGAGACGGGAGAAGTTGCGCAAACAAAGCGCGAATACTCTCGTACGTCGTTGTGAGTCAATGGCGCTGGCACCTCGGGATTGGAAATAGTCACGACAGTCGATCACTCGTACGAGTGCCGCGCCGATTATCTTCAGTATAAGGTTATCCTGCTTTTAGTCTTTTAGCTTTGGTTCGGATGCTATCCAGGTCCTTTCTTGTATTACATGAGTTTTCTGGCTGGCAGCATGTTTAAATCTCAGATCCGATAGACCATTTTATTCAATTGCATCCGTATGGACAGCTTCTGGCAGGGGGCAGAGAAACTCCGCTCTTCAATTATCCAATTATCATAGGGGTAAACCACCGACTCCGTAATGGTAAAATGCAGCAAATTGGGTTAAAAAATTTTCTTACCCAAGCTGGCACCGAGTATTACACATGCTCCGTACCTTGTCGTGTCTGTCTTGGCTCTGCACCCTCAGAGAAAACCCCCGTCTGTTCCTGGGGCGAGGTTCAGGTAGTAGCTAGAGCCACGACTTAAAATAACCGCAAGGCGAGAGTCGCATTGCCCCAATAGGCTATAGTGGCAGCTTCAGGTTACCTAGATGCTACTGCTTGTCCCCATCAGCAGTCGGGGATGCCGGCGTCAGGCGGGCGGCATCGGTGATGCGAACTAGGATCGATCATGGCCAAAGCAGCAGCTCGCAGAGGCAACCTGAAAAGGGCATTCCGAAAGGGAAAAAAGAGCCTCTATGGAGGACAACAGAAGAGCACATCGCCACCCTTGCGCATATATACGAAATGTACGTGGAGATATTGGTTAAATGTCGATCTTGCAACTCTGTATGTACATGTAGCTGGTCCCGTGCTCATGCCATGGGCGAATCGACTTACATGTACTTACATCCGATGCGGTGATACAATCGACATGGCCCTCTTTTTTTCTTTCCCATGAGGGCACTTGCGGATGCTCCCCACTTTGCACCAGCATCCAAAACCTGAGCCAGGGGAGCCTTGGCCGCAGAAGCTTGCAATATTGGCATCAGATGGAGCCCGAGTACTCCATACAGACGAGAAGCGAGAGTTACGGGCAAGCGACTTGTAACAGGTACGAGTACGTGTCTACTGAGTATGGAGCATCGGCGTTTAGATTCCTGGTAGGGAAATTGACATGCAGCACGAATCTCACAAGCGAAGGAAAAATAGAAGGACGCCTTGTGTATGCGAGAACACGATGGATATTACATATCAACCAGCTTTCGACATGGAATCACAGGCTCTGGTGGTGTCACGTTGTGCAGGTGCCCATCAGAGCTATGCTCGGCACTTGAATCCTCTCCAAAAGCCGGACACAAAACCAAAAAGAAGTGAAAAACACTCGTCGTCCTCTTTGTCTATGTAACAGGTTGGATCACATCACACCACATGCACGACATCCCGCAGCTCGTCTCCTCACTGTGAGATGCAAACTAACGCCTGGGCACTCCCCTTTCTCCCCAATTCAATGCAGCGCCCATTCAGCTTTTGTGCAGGCCCGGTTCCACGGCCACCTCGGGCCGCCACCTGGTCCAACCCACATCGACTGCCCTAGGCCCCATCGTCATCTCAAGAGGGCCTTGGCTGGGCAGCATGAGGTGCCGGAATGCTGCGAGGGGAAAAGAGCCTGAGCAGTGCCGAAGTTGTCGATTGGCGTGTGAGGTGAGCCTTGCTTCGCCCATCTGCTCGGCCTCAATGGTTTACTTTGGTGGCCTCTTTCTTTGCTCCTCGCCTGCTGGCACCACCTCCATCATCCGACAAAAGAGCTGCGGGTGCTTTGTGCCAGAGCCCTCCAACCCCATGATGAATCCACCACCCATCCATCCACTTCACTTCCCCCCTGTTAGCTCTCTCCGACTCGCTTCTTCTGTACCAGAGGTGTTAGCGCTGCGAGACGACGACGGAGAGGGGTGAATGCAGAAGTTCAGAGGGTAGAGCAAAAGGTGGGAAAAGCATAATTGCGGCGCCAGCTCCTCGTTGCAAGCCTCTTGCGGACGCCATCGTCGGCCGTCGTCAAGCTTCTCCATGTTGTGAGACGACTTCTGCAATTACATGCTTCCCCTCTCTTGGTCTCTTTGGAACATCTCCACTTCTCCCAGCGACGGCCAGCCTATCCGGATCGCCTAGCCCGGTATCTGCTTTTAGTTCACACGGTATGGCCAAGTACTCCGTGGGCGCTCTTGGAGTTGCTGGAGTCTGTGCCTCTGAAATTAACCTCCAGCTTGTGGTAGCGGTATCCGTCTCGACTCAGAGCTGAGAGCCGGACAACTTTGAGTGTTTGTACATGTCAAGTGGCCCTGGTACAGCCAAGTACCAGCCTGCTTTTATGCTCTCAGTCTCTCTCTCTTCTCTTTCTCTTTGCTGCTCCACGGCTTGCGTTCTTTGTATAAGACAGACAACGGAGAGACAAGCAGCATCTGCTCGACATTTTTACAAGAGTACGGAGTAAATATAGTAGGTAATAAATACCTAGGTATACGAGTAGTAATGGCATGGCATGGCAAAACTTTCACACAACCCATGCAGCCCACCCCATCAAATCTCATCAAATTCTTGCTCCTGGCTCCCTGCATCTGCCGCAATTCAATTCCCCTTGTGCAGCAATTGCTACGGTACCTGGCAGTTCGTACTTGTTCCAGCGCGTGCCCCGTGCGTTTGGCGGCATCCAGGGGGCCCCCCTTAGCGCTCAAGCCCCCAGTGGCCGCTATGCAGCAGCGCTCTGCAGTGCTGCGACCCTCCTCTACCCCAAACGGTCAAGACGGTCTCTAGCAAAAGTTAGACCTGCAGAGGTACTTCGGGGTACTCCGGACCCCATAAAGTTACAGCGGCCGTCCTCGTCCACGCCACTGACTGCTGGGGGAACTTCGTCTCTCCACCGGTTGAAAACGTCGACGCTTGCGCCGGCTTCTGTCGCGAAGCTCTTGACCTTCCCCCACCTGCTCTACTGTACAAACCGCGACGCCTTCAGAGCTCAAGTGACTTGGACTTTTCTACCTTTTGCCGCATCCTGAAACTTGTTCCCTTTCAACCCTTTCAACCATCTCGTCCCCCCCCAAAACTCGACCCGCTACGAGAATCGCCATCCCCTCGATTGCTCGTTCGTGCTCGTGCTCGATCCTTTGTCTCCCGCCTGCAGAGGAGCTCACAAAGTACAGTCAAGACAGACAGCTTTGCGCTGGCGTCGTGCGTTGTCAGCCGTCGCTGCGCTTGGATTGGCGAGTCCCGGGGCCTCTAGCAGGAGAATCATGGGCCTCGACTGGCACAAGGCGCTTCTCCAGCTCTAGCAACGCAACACCATTGCCTCCCCTTCATCTGCCGTTCGCTCGCCATTTCCAGCGGCTGCGGATGCGTGCAAGGCCGGAGCACATCTCGCCTGGTTCCCTCCTTACAGCCACAACCACAATCCCTGCCTCCCATCGTCTCACGCTCTTGTCTCTTCAAGGTTCTCTCTTGTCTTGTCTCGTCTCTCTTTCGGGTTCTGTTCTGGTTTAGACGCGCCGGCTTTAGAAGTTGCTATACCCTCGGATATTGTCCCTCTTCCTCCTGCTTCCTCGCCTTCTTTTTAATCAATCGACCGCCCAACCGTCACTGCGGCACCCAACCAGAACCACCAACTGCCGCGACACCACCGACGCACGGCAGTCTTTCGCCACCAGAAAACCCTTCATCGGCCTGTCGCGTCCCATCCAGTCGATCTCATCCTCGTCACCTCTTTTTTTCCACCTTTTAGAGCTTCTTTTTTTCCATTTGATTCCCCACATAGACCGTACCTGACTTTGTTACTGGTGAGTGGAATCTCCTTTGAGCCTCAGCTGGCATCGAACCAGTCCCAACGCCCCCCCGCAACTCTACGCACCTGCGGCAACCTAAGCGGCTGCAAAGACACTTCGTCGCTCAGATCGGAACCGTCCATGAGGCGAACGGCCCCGTCATTGCGCGCGCCTCTTCTTTTTGCATCTGCTGGGCTGCCCGAATTACATCATTCGCCGAGATTCGGGTGCTGTGGTCGTTCGAGACATCTCGCCATGCTTGCATGGGTTGGGCTTATCTGTGTTTTGGATTGATGCGCTAACAACCCGGCAGTTTACTTTCTTTTTCGAATTTCTTCTTCAAGAGCCATCCGTATACTAAACTCGCAATCCTTCGTTCCGACGTTCTCCCTCTCGGGTCTACATTCTCTTGGTTGGCATTTTTTGCCCAGAAGACCTCACGTGCTGAACCACTTCGGCTGATACCCCGACTCTTTCCGCTCTACATCGCCATCTGGGCATTGGACTGTCTCCCATCAATATCGGTATCCTGCATTCTTTACCTTTGGAGAAGAAATAAGCACTCGCAAAAAGCAAGTCTTGGTACTTGGTCGAAATACTCGAAATTAGGCCTGTCGAACAGTATTGCCTTTCCCAATCGATCATGAGTTCAAGCTCAATCAAGAACGGATCATCGTCGAGGTTGACCCAGGCGCCATCCAACCAGTCTCTGCTACTGGAGAAGGTGAATGCTAGGACATCGACCCCAGATTCCGAAGCGCTAGCAAGCTCCGAAGACGAAGGCGATCACCGCCACGAAGCATCTCAATCCCTTGCGCAGCCCGTGAAGCCTGTTCGCCGGGCCTCTTGGTTGAACGATACATCTGCACCTCTCAGCCGACCTCGGAAGGGATCATTTGCGAGCAATTCAATGTCTCCCACCACATCACACCCCAGCACCCCGTCCATCGAAACTGGGGCGAGTGCTTGGGGATCTCATTCTACTTCTTCCGTCATGGCCCGCGCCCCTGGCTCAAACTTCCCCTGGGGGACTGGCATCTGGAATAACGATCGGAAAGATCCTCCGGCAAGGCTCAGTGAGGTTCTTCCATCTCCCACTTCGACAGTCCCTCCTGGGGCAGGAAGCAACTCCTTCTTTGGCCCAGATCCTTCTGGCCTAACCCCAACTTCCTCTGCAGCTCGCGAACCGGGCACCAACTCGCAGATTCCCTTTCCCATTCCGCTGCACCCTACACCAAAAACTTACCGTTCGCAGTCGTATTCTGCTGGACAATTGGATCCTGAGACGTCACCCGGCTCTGGCATGAGCTCTTCCACCGTCATTGGCCGAGCCCGCTATCCTACTCTCCAACACCGACCATCACGGCCTAGCATGCTCAGTGAGATGGCGAGTGATGGAACCATGCTTGGAAAAGTCAAGGAGGTGGAAGACGATGACGACGAGAACTCCTCTGAATCGCTTCAAGGCTCGTTCCATCAGAGTGCCGAGTCCAAGACTATCGAAATGCTTGCGCGAGAGAATGCCATGCTCAGACAGCAACAACAACAGCAACAGCAGCAACAGCAGCAACAGCAGCAGCAATACGGTTCTAGAATTCGACAACGTGGCGCTCCCGGATCCTACCATGGCAACGGATACCCTCTTCGCGAGTATGTTCCCGAGGAGGGAGAATATGCCATCGATGAGCTCGACGAAACGAATGACGGCGAAGCCATGGCCAGACGAGCCACTGATAGGAGAATGAGCGAGTTTGGTACCACCGGACCGTATCGCGGCCCTATGGGCTTTGAGCAACGCAAAGAAATGCCCTCCTTGAAAAAGGCTCTCTGGTCCAGCTCCCCGAGCTTCTTTGCAAACGACTTTTCTCAGAGCAGACGCCACTCCTTCGCCAACATGCCCACACGACAGGGCTCTATCAGCTCGATTGCCGATTCTGTGGCTACGTTGGAGGCACCTAATCCTGATAATCAGCTCAACCAGGGGTACCCATCACCATTAGGATATTCAGACAACGCAGCTTTTGGAAGCTCAAGCAATGGTGAGTCTCGAGCCGAGACACTTAATCGGGGTAACAATATTGACAATCTTCTTGCAGCCAATTTCTTCCCCGGAAGCAGCAACATGGCTGGCTCTATCCCCTCGGCATTTGGCAACCCCTACATGTCCCAGTATGGAATGCACAACCAATTCTCGAATCGTCCACCGTCCCCTCATCGCAGCGTGTACAGTGTGGGCCAGCCAAGACACAATCAGCTTCTGCATGTCGTCCTATTCAAGTGTGCTAGGGCAGACGTATTTTACATCCAGGAAGGAACTGGACTCACCGTCAAGCCTGGCGACTTGGTCATTGTAGAGGCCGATCGAGGCACTGACCTGGGAACCGTTGCACGCGACAATGTCGATTGGCAGACAGCCAAGGAGCTCAAGGAGCATTATGCAGAGGAGCAATACAAGTGGTTGATGATGTATTCCCAAAACGCAGCTGCTGCTCAGGAAGGCTCTGGTGCCGGCCTCTTGGCTTCGTCCAATGGCCTCCAGGGCAGCGCCATTGGCGGCATGGGACCGCCAAATCAGCACCACATGCAGGAGCCAAGCGCCGGTGAGCTGCGCCCAAAGCTCATCAAGCGGCTTGCTCAGAACCACGAGATCCATTCTCTGCGGGATAAAGAAGGCCAAGAGGCCAAGGCAAAAAGAGTGTGCATGCAAAAGGTGAAGGAGCATGGTCTTAACATGGAAATTCTCGACGCTGAATTCCAAATGTGAGTTGCACTACATTTTATGGTGTTAATGACGTGTAAACTGACTGAAATCACTAGGGACTGGAAGAAGTTGACCTTTTACTACTTTGCCGATTCTTACATTAATTTCAACTCGCTTGTCACGGACCTCTTCAAGATTTACAAGACTCGCATCTGGATGTCTGCGATCAACCCGGCCTCATTTGCTAGTCCCACTCTGGGAATCCAGGCTCCTAGCGGAGTTGGACCAGGTGCTGTTGGCGTTGGCCGTGGTGCAAACGCAAACGAGCGTCGCCAGAATCCAGTCTCGCAACAGGAACAGCAATCCCAGGTCTTTGCAGGCGCCGCGCAAGGTCGGGGACTGCGATCTGGCTATGCTCAGCCTCAGCTGGCTGCGGATAGGCAGGCCCCTTCGGCCACCGGATTCCCGCCTTCCAACTACGCATATGGCTCTGCAGGTGCCTTTGGAAATGCGCGAATGAATGGCGGTGCCTACACCTTGGGCATTAACCAGGGCATTGATCCCTTTGCCAGCGCCGGATTCCCTCAGTCGGGTGACCTGCAATCGATCCGCCAACGATTTCCCACCTCTCAAACCATGCCGTCTCCTGGGCCGCACTCCCAAGGCGTGACTGCAATCTCACCCTCCAACGAATGGACCGCTAGCTTCCAAGGTCTTTCGCTCAACACTCACTAAATCCAGGACGGCAGAAATTGGACGAATTATAGCATGATTAGACTACAACACTCGCTTTCTTATTTTTTGGGCGCCTCGATTGCTACACTCTTAAAGGATATTGAACGATAATGAAAGAACAAAAGAAGACAAAATATTTCTTTTCGCAGTATGCCTATCATCAGTTTTACTCTATTTTATTTTTTTCGTCATCCGGTGGCGGCGGTGGCCATTTTGAAGACCACACGGGCGACACCGAGTTCGTGCTGGAAAGGAGCCTCAGTGCAAGGCTCCTCTCGACCGTCATTACCTCTTGAACATCTTTTTTGCTATATACACACACATATATATACATATTATCCCTCTACGACTCTGGTACGGATTACGGGTTTGGCTACTGGACATGCGAGATCGAAGAATGGAGAATGGGTATGGTTTTGCTTTCGCTTCCATCGGCTGAGAATATAGACAGAGAGACCTGAGTTAACGCATGCATGCTGTAACTAATACACAATCAAAAAAGGGAAACGGATTGGGTATGGCTAATGTCATGTACGACAAGAAACTTGTTGATTTTTGTTTTTGATTTCTTTTTCTTGATGCTTTTTTTCTTCTCTTTTTTGTCGCTCTCTCTCGACAAATATCATTCTATTCATATTAGTATTTTTACTTTTATTCTACAGAATCTGGACTGCATTAGTACTTGTTTGTATTTTGGGTTTGGGAAATTGTACGTTTGAGACAAAATTATGATTTGTTTTTGAGACTAAATTGACGATTGAGGGCATATATATTGTTATTATTATTTCTCCGAATGACTCTTTGAGTGACCACGTGCATGATCTGTTGCTTCTTTTGAGAGCCTAATTGCAGAGAGGCATGGAGGCAAGCATCTAGGATGCGCTCAAAACGGATGCTTCACTGCACCACTACCTCTCTCTTTCTATATATAATGCTGCAGTTATGAAGCAGCCAGTCTAAAACAATTATTTCATCTTTTGGACGACGAATTTACATGTACAGATGTACTATACAAGGTACACCGTCATGTGGCTTCCTCAGGCGGGCATTCTTCAACAGGAGGAAGGAGCGACGTCGGTGTTCAACGACCTCTGCGTTTCAATTCTGGAGCCGCATTGTCTTCTCTTTTTGCCAAATCTCGTCTTTCCATCAAGTCACTGCAAAGATTTCAACCCCCAGCCTATTGAGCGGTAATTTTTTCTCCTTGATTATTGTGCATTTCTTCCTTCTTTGTACTCGAGATGCCTGCGAAGACAAGGAAGAGGAAGGCGTCTGAAGAGGGTAGGTGGCTATGAGTGGGCTTGTGCGATTTAGAGTTGCATATGGATAGCTGACTTTGATGTCCTTAGAGGTGGATGAAGTTGAAGAAATTCTTCAACCTGCAAAGAAGACAGGTCGTACTGCGCGAGCAAAGCCTAGGTAAGACGGCGGCTTGGAATAATATGTGCGAGTTGGACTGGTATTGATCGATGCGAACAGCAATCGAGCCGCCAATAGCACTTTGAAGAAATCAAAGTCAGCTTCGTCTTCTGCGAAGAGCGCAAAGAATGAGATTCGGCGAAACGCAGATAGCTTGCTCCGCATGATTGAGGACCAGTACAACAACGCTCGGTGGGTTTTCATGTACACATGTTTGAGCCTTTTTGAATTCTAACGAGAAGTGGTATTCAATAGATCTGGAATTACTGGAAATAACTCGTTGAGCTCCAAGATTTCTGCTATTCTGCAAGATGGTCTCGATACACAGAGCGTTATATATCAACAGTCGCACAGTCGTATCAAAACCTTACAGCATACCCTAGATGAGTACGAAACGGTCAATCGAGACTCGATCAAGGTCAAGAAGCCCATTGAAGGAGCCCAATGGGAACAAGACGCAAAAGATGTCGCCGAGGTGGATAAGAAGGCAACAGATATTTTGATACAGACGTTAAATGGATTGGTCATTTCTGGAGAACATGCTAAATCGCTAAGATCATCACGTTCTGGAGATGATATCGAACAGGTAGCTTGGCGGTGGATTGAAAGCGGAATTCCACCCGCAGATGATACATGGGGATCGAGTGCACGAGAAACTTTGAAGGCTTTTGTGGGAGTTGCAAAGCTGCTTTTGTAATCTAAATGATACGCACTTTAGGCATTTACAGCCCATATCTGGTGATTTGCTGCGGCAGTTGGCAATGAACGTTTTACACAGAGTAGAGAGAGAATCCGATATGATTGGAAGCCCAATATTACTGGGTACTCGATGGCTCCACACCCTCACCTCGTTAACCTCGCGGTGAATTCTCATGCTCACCTTGATGACTCAGCACCTTCCAGTAGCTTAATTTTCCATCAAAAATTGGGCACGAGGGCTCTGAGGGGCAAGTCCTATCACGCTAGCACTAGAACAAGCCTAGCGCATCGCTTAACCCACAAACAGGCCCTTGAATTTTCAATGTCGTTTTCGGTTTTGCAGCCTCCTCCTCCGAAATTTTGACATCCTCTTGATCAACCTCCTTCAACTAACCCTCGGCAGGAAAATTTCTGACCTCAAGCCGGTTCGTCCTCTCCCCCCTTCTCTGCCCTTGAGCAATATCAATTCTTCGTCTTCAATTGAGGAAAAAGAAGAAGAAGAACAAGTTCGCAAAGAAAGCTAACATCGTCGTCGTCGTCGCCGCACAGCCAAAATGGGTGCCCTCAAGTATGTCGAAGAGCTCCAGAAGAAGAAGCAGTCCGACCTGGTCCGCTTCCTTCTCCGCGTGCGCTGCTGGGAAGTACGTTGCCACCACTCCGAATAGCTACACACAAACACACAAAATCCCGAGACGATGAAATATACGTTCTCCTTTGTGGACTTGGGCGGGCTGGATTTTGAGGTCGAGGCAGTTTTGGGAAAGACTTTCATTGATGGGTCTAAAATTTTTCTCTACTCTCTTTTTCTGGCCGGTCTCCCTTTTCCCAGTCCTGGGATGGGGGATCTCGTGTCGAGGTTTTTTTTCTTGGAATACAGAAAAAAATCTTGCACTGCTGGTTCTTGGTTTGCCTGAAAAACGGCAAACTGAGACTACAGAAGAGAGATGCCAAGAGAAAAATTGAGACTCGTCTTCGTGATATCCCCTTTGCTGCCAACACCTTCACTTTCCCTCCCCTTGTCTTTGCTATACACTCGTTGAACATATGCTGAGAGTGCATCAATATAGTACCGTCAATTGAACGTTATCCACCGCGCCTCCCGCCCTTCGCGCCCCGACAAGGCCCGCCGTCTCGGCTACAAGGCCAAGCAGGGCTACGTTATCTACCGCGTGCGTGTCCGCCGTGGTGGTCGCAAGCGCCCTGCCCCCAAGGGTGCCACCTATGGTACGTTTTTTCTCTCTCTTGAGATCTCTTCTTCTTGACGGACTTTTTTGTACTGACCGGGGATTCGTGTGTGATCAACAGGCAAGCCCACCAACCAGGGTATCAACCAGCTCAAGTACCAGCGCTCCCTCAAGGCCACCGCCGAGGAGCGTGTCGGCCGCCGCTGCGCCAACCTGCGCGTCCTCAACTCGTACTGGATCAACCAGGACTCCACCTACAAGTACTACGAGGTCATCCTGGTCGACCCCAGCCACAAGGCCATCCGCATCGACCCCCGCATCAACTGGATCGTCAACCCCGTCCACAAGCACCGCGAGGCCCGCGGCCTCACCGCCACCGGCAAGCGCTCCCGCGGCCTCAACAAGGGCCACCGCTACAACAAGACCACCGCCGGCCGCAGAAAGACCTGGAAGAGACACAACACCCTGTCCCTGTGGCGCTACAGGTAAACGCTCTCCGCCGGAAAGCGGAAGAAGCGTTGATGACGGCCGAGGAGGAGGCGTCGTGGCGGTCCTTCTGGGAGTGTTTCGCGCGAGTCCTCTGGTGTCTTCTTTGTTTGCGGCAGTTTCTTCTTGTTCGGTGTTATTTTGCCTGCAGAAAAGAATCGGCGTGTCTTAGGGGGGAAGAGGGAGGTGATGAAAAAAAAAAAAAGGCCCAAGAGATGCTTCTTTGGTAGTTTTTAAAATGGAAATGGCATGACACTTTCCGATAATAACTCGGAACTGCGATGATATCTCTTTATTTTCTTTTTCCTTATGTAGAAAGCAATTGTGACAACTTCACCGTTCATCATCCTCATGTGCTCCCTCCATTCTCAGCCATCAATTAGGTGCTTTTCGTATACTCATTATGCAACCACTCCATCTCCCCTCTCTCAACATCGTAGCAAAAGCACATAAATCACAGCCCATGATGAAAACATAGAAGAGAGAGGAAAAAATCACATTCAATCCCAAACCCCACGTCAAATTTGAAAAAGAAAAAAGCAAACGAAGTCTTATCTCTAAGTACAGTTTCAGAAGCGAGGACCCAACCTTATAAAACCCCCCAAGGCAATAAAAAAGCCCAATGCCGCAGCTCCATCCAGAAAGCTGCTCAAGTCTTCCATCCCTTCAAATCAACCAAAGTCAAAGCAAAGAAGCTTCAACTGGTTTCACCTCAGTTTGTCTGCTCTCCTCCCTCCCCTCCACATCATACAAGCAAGCACCGTAACCCGCAGATATTTTCGAAGAGATGAATAAAATAGAAACACGCAACAATAAAGAAAAAAAGAGACTAAGAAGAAATTATCCAGCTACCCCAGTTCTACGTAAATTTCGCGACATTACCACTTCATTTCGCCCCCCATAACCCAACCAGTTTGCCATGATCTTTTCCTTTCCACTTTAACCCTTATGAAGCTCCAATATATAGAGTCCAATCTCGTAGTAGTTGGATCAGTCAGCTGCTCCCAATCGAATCGGGCCACTGGCTCCATGCAGTCAATCAGAAATACAAGCCCCATCGGAAGACCCAGTAGAGTCCCCCAAGTGTGGCATACAGTATCGTAGGCTCTGGACGTGTAAAATGGCTGTCTGTCGTGATAAATGACCATTCTTGATCGTAGAACTGCGAACCGTAAAATGAGAATTGAGAAAGCACATCAAATGACAATAGAAGAATCGAAGATGAGAAGAAGTAGAAAAGATTTGTTGCCGACGCCAGTATTGGCAACGACGGGGACAATCCAAGTACAGATACAGACGAGGGTTGGAGCGAGAGCTTGCCTGCCTTTTGCTCTCAGCTCAATGCAGCTTGGAGTACCAGATGGTGTGAACCCAGAAGCCCATTTCGACCCCTGCTTTTTTGTTTGTTTTTTGTTCATAATATACACACAAAGCATTGCGGAAATGCTGTGCTGCTCCGATCTGGAGTTGGCCGTTTCTGAAGGAATAACGCGTCCAGACTTTATGGGCTAGTGAAACAAGAGAAAGAAACGTGAATCGAAATAGAAATGTCATCATCATGACAGTGTCATCACCATGCCGCATGAAGTCGTATTCCACTGAAATGGCCGTAAGTGAATAAAAGAAGAAGAAAAGCACAAGCGGCCGAAGCGTCATTATACAGGCAAATGGTCGAAATAAGAGGATTCAAATAGTTTACACCCAGCGTGCCTCGCCGGCATCCACCGACGTGTTGGAGGAATGTCCCTGGCTATAGCTGCCAGACATCATTTGGTTAAACTGGGGAGGCTGGACAGGGCCGCCCGAGCTAGCTGTTGAAGAAGTTGTCGGCATCGAGACGCTGCTAGTGAAAGGAGGAGGTGCCTGCTGGCGTATGCCTTGGCTTCCAACACTAGGCGTTGCTCCATTGGTATTGTTGCCGTTCGTAGGCAGCACAGGAGTGCCAGAGAGACCTCGGTTGTGGCTTGGTCGTAGCGGGATCTGCCCTTGTGTGTTGTCGGCAGGCGTGACTTGTCCGCTTGAGGCAGCACTTCCGCGGTTATCGTAGGCGGCGATTTTGGCTTGGATACGGCGTCCATAAGGAGTTGTGCGAACCTGTGGAAGGACTGGACGAATGGCCTCGACAAGGCGATATTTTTGATGAGGAGTAGAAAAGTCAAGAGCCGTCTGGATAACGTAGTTGGCAAACGAATCACGGAGGAATCGTTCCATCTCGTTGAGTATCTCCTCGACAATCATGTCCTTGGAAGCAGGTTGAGCGCAGCGCAAGCACTTCTCAATAACATTGGAGCTGAATTTGTGCCGGGAGAGCTGGCTGATACAGCCTTGGAACGTTGCAACAATGGGCTCGGTGAATGTTGGCTCGTTCAGGTCGATGATGTACTGGACAACATAGTTTCCAAACGGATCTTGCACCAGGATACGTGCATGCTCAGTGATGCGCTGAATCAGCCATAGCTTCTGCTGGCCAGTTGCGTGATCGATGCAGCGCTGCAGCACACAGCAGCCATGTCGATGAGTTCCAACCTCGACACAGTTGTTGCCGACGGCATCAAAGATGAACTGCGCGTCAGAAGCGGTGAGCTTGTTAAGGCACTTCTGAATGACGTGGTTGCCGTTGAGATCTTGGATGAGTTCCACAACTCGGAAGCGGAGAGCTTCGATGATGAGATGAACCTGCTGAGGAGTACTAACATACTCAATCATCTTCTGCAAGGCCCTTGTTCCATGCTGGTTGAGAGCGATGCGCACCATGTCTTTGGATGCGTTCTGGATCAAGACAGTTCTTTCGTCGTCATTGCAAAACTCGAGGAGCTTTTGGCACAAATAATTACCAAACGGATCCGTCATGAGCTCGATGACATGCTGATTGGTCTCGAGCCAAATCATGTGAACTTGATCGCCTTCGCGTTCCTCCAGCTTCTTTTGGAGATAGCGGCAGCCGTGCTGGTCCTTGCACAGCTCGTAAATCTGGCCTCGGAACGACTCAAGCGGCATGTTCTGATACCGAGACATCGCTATAGAGAAATAATTAGCACAGGAAATAGGAAGAGGGAAAGATAAACCTGCTGTTGCTGTCCAACGCACCTTCATTGTCAAGTTGTCGACGATGTTGGATGACACGAGCCTGACTATCACGAGGTTGACCATTCTGAGGATATGGCACGTTGCCGTAGGGAGAGTAGCTCTGAGGAGAGTAGCCATTGCCATTGCCATTGCCAGTGCCGTTGAGGTTCATCTGCTGCATCCCAGTGGAGAGCGAGTGAGCCCCATACGAAGGTGGAGAGGTAGTGCTCGGAGAGGTGTAACCATTTGGCTGGTAGAAGCCACCGCCAGAGGAAGTTGCAGGTGCAGTGGCGTGCGGCGTTGCAGTATGAGGAGCCGCAGTGGCCATGGTTGGTCCGAATGGAGCAGCACTTGCTTGGAGGGCTGAGTTGATGGATGGAAACACACCAGCCTGCTCACGGTTGGCGTTGATACCATTGTCGTTGGACAGCTCGCGAGCATGACGGATTGGCATTGCTCCAGCGGGAATGCGACCGATGCTGGCATTGTGGTTATGGAAGTGCTGCTGAGCGTGGTTATTGGCACTGCCGTTCAGGAGAGAAGAACCAGCAGGGTTCTTGACCGTAGGTATATCGTTGGCAGAATAAGAACTCTGGAGTTTGGGGGGCGCGTGGATCGCCTGGGAACCACCAGAGGTCTCATTCGAGCTTTCCGAGATATACTTAAGATCAAGAGAATGACGGATGGACGAAGGGCGGCTTCCAATGTTGCCAGCATCGCCAGTCTGGCTGGTGGAGAGCCCATTAATGGCTGACATGCTGTGCTGGGTGCGATGCCGGTTTACGCTGGTCCTCCAGTTATGAGAGGCCCGCGCTTCAGGGTTGGGTGAGGGCGATAGAGCAAGATCAAGAGCGGCTGACGATGCTGATAGCTAAGGAGGGAATGTTGAGATTAGCAAGATTGAAATTCAATGATGAGAGGACTCTGGCTAGACGAATCACAGATCAAAGTCGGGTTGGATGAAGGTGGTGCAGGATGCAGAAAAGTGAGATGCTAGGGAGGAAGAGAAGAAGAGAAATTGTACAGAAGGAAAGGATAAAAGAGGAGGAGAGCAGGAGAGAAAGAAGAGAACGGGGGGGAGAGGAGAGTTGCAAACGCAAATGCGTGCGAGTGGGCAAGTAACAAAGGAGAGGGCACTGCCAGCTGCCAAGCGCCAGCGGCCAGCTGCCAGCCGCAAGAAGCTGGTGGGTGTAAAAAAAAAAGGCATAGAGAGCATGCCAGAGAAGATCTTCTTTCCTTCTCCAACTGAGATACATTGCAAGAGCAGAACAACAAAAGAACACTTACAATTTGATCGTCACGACGAACAAGCGTGGGAAAGCTGTCGTCAGGAGTGTGTCCCCTAGGTAGGTGGTTGGGCTCGTCGTCACCGAACAAAAACCGTGTGGTGTTGGTCTGATCAAGGTTTAGATCGTAAAATCCATTCCTTGTTCGAGTGACGGGCATTGAGTATCTGTTTGTTCTTCTATTATCAAAGGTTGGGTCAGCAATTGTCAGGTTAACCAGCTGTAAGCAAAGCAATCGCGCAACTTGGTATGCAAGATGGCGGTGGGAGGCGTGCGGGCTTGCAGTCGACTCTGCTCAGCGCAAGAGCTACATCAAGCGCTGGATCCCCGATGCCGACAAACAATGCCAAACAAAATGTTCACAGTCCATTGTCAAACAAGCCGCTCTCCATGTGCGCTGACGATTCTGATGGACACCGGCCCCATTCATGCACCCCAGAGCAAAAGATCACGCGCCGATCAAGCAGCAATATACTCCAAGAGACAACATCACTAGGGCTCTCTACTTACGAATTGGTCGCTCTGTGGCTGCTTGGGTCCTGGCGAACAGCCTCTTCCTTGTCATCATCGTCGCTGTTCCGGCGCGTAGTAGGTACGGATCGTGATGGCATTTGGTTGTCGTCGAACCCGTATCGCTGCTGGAACACGCCAGTAGTGCCAGGAGGCGGAGAGGTCAAAAGCGATCCGGAGCGCGCTGGTCGATTAAACATGGCCGCGGGAGAGGTCAAGCTTGAAGTAGAGTAGCGGTTTGGCCGCGAGAATATGCCAGGAAAGCCATTGTTGGTGCTGGTGTTTCGATACTCGGGAGGCGTTGTCGGTTCGGATTGGTGCCCGGCGAATCTATTCATGTCTTCTTCCATCTGCGCCAGCTCTAGGGCTTCCCGTCGCTGTTGTTGATCTAGCTTTTGCATCTCGACTTCGAAGCGCCGCCTCTGTTCTCGGATCCTCTCATATTCTTGCTTTTTCTTCTCTATCTAAAACGAGGAGATTTAGAGTCAGCCAGGTTTCGCGAATTCAACCATCTTCCTTGCTTCCAAGGGTTTGCCGCGTCCGAATCTAACGGCGCCGGCCGAAACTGGGTGAAGGGGGTGGATGAGAGAGTTTTGCGGCCGAAAGCCATCAAGTTGGAGCAAGGGGGCCACCTACCAATTGGACTTTATGCAATGCCTGCTTCGCATACAGTCAGCCAGCCAATCTCGCATACAAATAGAAAGAGACTTCCTAGTCTACGCGGCGAGCAGCGACAAACAGGGGATTCTCAGCCAGAACTCTGCGACTCACGTTATTATAATCTTGAGCTGCGTCGGGCACGCGGGGGGGAGATGCCAAGGAGTTCATGGAAGACATTGTCGGTACACGCCCCGAGTCCGTCGTAAAGCGGCGAGGCAGGGCGGAGCGCAGATCGTGATTCGCAGGCTGTTGTTGAGGGATGCGAGCGGCGCCGCGAGGAGGTGAGACAAGCGGGTTGATGGACTGCTCGTTCCTCGGCGGCTGCTGAGGGCGGAAGCGCAGATCTTCCATGTTGGGACGGAGGGAAACGAGGGACGGACAGGAATCGTACAGGCCGAATTGGCAGCGCTCGGGACGTCTATCTCGCTGCAGACATGAAGCAGGCAGGGGAAAGTCAGCAAGCTTGTCGTTGTGGACGACAAAGTTAGGGCCAGGCACAAGCCGGCGACGCTGGAGGCGGGGTGGGATAGGGTCAAGGGATTGGACAGTTGACGAGACAAGATGCTCGGTGTTGCAGCCAAGGACAAGGATGAGCCGGTGGATGCCCAGATGGTCTGGGCTGGACTGGGGCCAGCGCGCCAGGCAGGGGTCTGCGTCCAGTTCCCACACGTCGTGCTGCAGGAAGATCAGAGACTCGTTGAGGCCGAGTCGTCATCGCCTGTCTGCATCACGTTGGTGTTGGGTGAGCGAGGCCAAGGCCAAGGCCAGAGCCAGAGCCAAAGCCACGGGCCAGAGCCAGAGCCAAAGCCACGGGCCTGAGCCTGAACCAAATCCAAAGCCACGAGCTAAGGCCCAGCCACGAACCGCCGGTGTATGGAACAGAGGCGTCCAGGGCTGGTGCTACTGCCTGAGAGCAGCAGTTGCTCGTGTACTCCAGCATGGATGGCAAAACGTGCTCGTGCTCGTGTCCTTCGTCTCCCGCATTCCCTTGATAGCGTCTTGGTTGTACGAAGCACCCAGGGCTGAGTGTCGGGTCCAAAGAGCAGGGACAGCAGCAGAAAGCTGGCAACGCCATAGCAGCCCGCATCCCTTTTGTTTTTGACTTGAATCTTTTGGCCAGCTCTTTGTCCGGAGAGGAGATGAAAAAAAAAAAAAAACTGTCCCTCATATCTTGAAACCGCCGCCAGAAAACAGACATCGCCGGCGAAAGGAGGAGAAAAAGGGAAAATCCACGAGCAACGGAATTGATGTCATGGATATAACACTGATGGCTTACGTACCTTGCTGCTTGTAATGGACTAAATGAGACAGTACAAGCGAAAGAATTAATCGTACACAATGTCGGCAATCAATCTGTCGATGGACATAGATGGAGCGGATAGACAAAAGATGAGGAAAGTAGGTGGCCTCAATGCCGCCCGGAAGGGAAATTGAACAAGGAACAAATAGTACAACAGAAGAAACGAAGGTATTGAGATAAGTTATACAAAAAGGGAACAGCCTCAGAAGCTCACGAGGATGGCGATCTGAACTCGGTTCCTCCGTATAATACAAGTCGGGGAGAGAGGGTGAGAGTGGACGTGGGGAAGAGAAGAGAGACAGTGAGAGAATGTGTCTGAGGCACGGAATTCGAGAGAGAGGACATGAAACTATTTGACGGATGGATTTTCTGGGGATCCCGATTTAGGCAAGTGGCGGAGGTCATGACTACAGCAAGTGCTATTGGAAGACTCAACTCCAGGTCCATGCTAGAGCGCTGTTAGAGCCTAGAGGCCCTGAGGTGGCCGGTGGACAGGGCAGGTTTAGTGAGCGCAGGAGGCGACGCCACTGGGCTACAGCGCCAATCAGGCCGCGGCGTCGTTGTTATGCCGGTGAAGGGAAACGATGTGATCCATCGATTGAGCCTGAGGTACTCTGTATTACTTGGTACTTGGTACAGATACAACTCGTGTTGGAATTGCCTTGCTTTCTACGTGGCTGTGGTCCCGGAGCGAGGCAGCAATGCGGCGGTCTAGTTGTCTCCGGTGTAATCTGGGTGTAAAGGGTGTACCGTATGTGCCAGCGTCTGTCTATCTTCTTGGGTCTCGAATATACCTGCGAGCCTATCATTACGCGGCTGAACTCATTAGTAGCACATGGGCCGCTGAGTGCCGTGCAAATCAGGCGTAATTCTCCGGCTTTTGCTAATTGAGATTGCATTTGCTTCCAGATTTAATTTGATTCACTGCTCTGCTCCTCCACTTGGCTCCTTTAAGGTTTTGCTGGACTCAGGGGAAATCCGAAGCCCTCGGAGGCGATGCTAATGGGGAGAAAAAAATTTGGCCGAGTCGAGTTCATTTGGGATGGCCTTAGCGCAAGACCTGCCAGAAGGGGGATTGACTCGGGACAAGTGGCTGTCACCCTCCCATGGATGGATGGATAAAGAAGAAGACAGCAATTGAGCCATCACATATGGTAGAATAGCCAGTGCTCCCTACGAGTACATGCAGCATATACGGTCGTGTCGTTTCGTGTATGTAGCTGGAGTGCATTCGGAGCCCCAGCTGTACGGATACCTGTACTTATGCGGTACATGTGCCTCAAGACAAGCGAGGCAGAGTGCCGGGCTCTGCAGCCATCTTAATGTCCAATGGTTTGCATGTACTGTACATGTACATACATGCATGTTGTAGGGTAATGGATATCGTGGCAGCTGTATGTCATCTGCACGGATGAGTTGTTTGCAACTCAAGTGCGTCTTCATTGCATGCTGACGCATTGTCGAGGCAGACAAGACACGCTGTTGGTACATGTACCTGGATCAGGATCAAGCATCGAGACAACTGGTAGGTGGCATCACAGTGTATTGGTCAATTCTAACACTCTCAATGTACAGGTACCGACTGGCATGGCGAAGCAAAGGAGCGGAACACCGGATACACGCACGCGAACCTGGGGAAATGCACCTCAGGCCAGTTTATCCAGCAAGATGCTGCTCTTCAAAGGTACCAAGGCGCCAGCCCCTCGTATATATTGCCGACTATAGGTAGCTACAAGGTAGTAATACTAGTAGGTAATAAGCCGCCGGCATTCAAGCCCAACAAACAACTTGGGCTTCCAATTGCCCATTACCAATTGGCAGCCAAGATGGCCTCCTCACCTTAACCTGGAACGCCACTTGCCGACGTGCTCTCGAGCTGCTGCAATTGGACGCTCAAGATCCTGGTCGCATACATGCATTGGTCTACCGGAATTATGAGACCTTCCTGGACATAGCCAGAGCCAGAGCCAGTGCTTGTGCTACTGAGGAGTTTGGCAAGGCCGGAATCGCATCGGCAGTGGTGGCAACGGTCTGAACAGCAAGCCAGCATCCGACAGAGCTGCTAACCTGAAGGATCACCAACCAGTATCCATGCCGTTTTGGATCCCCCGCCTGCCCCTCATGGCTAGATGCATGAATAGTGCGTGTGCTGTTATATGAATTGTCCAACTAGATTCGTAGGCACCAGCTTTAACATGTAACGAGTAGCAAGGTACGGAGTAGAGAGGCCGGTTTGTTCTGTTAAAAGGCACACTGGCTGGTGGGAGCCAGAAGAGTGGCATGCGTGTGTCCAAGGCTGTTCCATGGGCAGATAGACAGAATCTTGAGAACCTGATCTTTAGGAGATGACGCCTACTGGGTCTCAGATCAATGGATACCTAAATGAATATCAATGCGCTGAGCTCTTGCAGCATCTCGCCGATGTTGTTCAATGTTTGGGAGGCTGAGCCGAGAGGGAGTACCTTGCATGGCTTAATTTGACCCCGCCTCATAACCTTTCCAACAAACAGAAGCAAGTACTAGAATAGTACCTGAATTAAAGTCCAAACTCCGTCTTCCACTCGTGGCCTTATTTTCACTTTCCATTTTACATGCCTCGCTCCGCCTCCAGGCGTATTAGCAGGCAATCTTTGTAAAAGTCGGTGAGGGGTCGAAAGAATTTGCATTGATTCCATTTCAGTCGGTACTCGTGAGCCTCAGCCTCATCATCACCCTAAAGAGCCTCGCCATGCTGACCTTGAAAAAAAAAAAAAAAAAGGTTCGGCAGCTGGCTAAATAATTACTCCAGGGTATCACTTGGAAGTTTGCAGGCACTTGTAGAGCTCAATGTTACCCACTACCAAGATTATATGGACGTTGCCTGCACTATTCAAGTAATCTCTACCTCTAGAATTAACTGGGAGGCACCTACTTGGATTATAAATGCCATGTGATGTATCAAGATTTCCAAGCCTCAGCTGCATTTCCCAAGTTCACCATCTCAAAATTTTCACATTTCTTTTCAAACTTGTCTTCTATCTTTCTTTTTTTTTTTTTTTTTTTTTTTTTTTTTTTTTTGCTTCTGCTTACATATCCGCTCCCTGGCAAGCCCGCTAAATAAGTCGTAGGTGCGACTCATTCGCGCAGCCAGACCCATCCAAACGCCGGCAAGCGACTCGTCATTGCGGGCGACAAAAATCGGAGACATCTCAATCCGTATTACTCGCTCTTACGCCCCTTGAGCAACGACGAGACGATCCAAGAACAAAAGCATCATCTGCCTCTCTCTTTCAAGGGTACGGAGACTTCTAAAAAAGAGACGCACACCATCGCAAAGATTCGAAGCCAGCCTTGAACGTTCCACAACGCGGTTGATGCGGGTAGCCCCGACTGCTGAAACCCAAACGCCTCTTCCGACACTCTCGATATGCGAACCATCTGAGCGTGGCTCAACGCCAGGTCCGAATCCAGGCCCCCACTCGGCTAGCCAACGATCACTTTGTTGCGCGCTAAAGTTGATGGGAGAGGCAAGGAAACGAGGGGCCTTGATATCCTGGTCTGGCATCCTGGTCGGATCTGGCTGCTGACTTGATGGCATTGGAAGGTCGCTCGCCAACCAGACACAGGGGCCGGACAGTTGCACGTCTTGGAGAATGCCCTATCCGGAGACAAGCCAGGCACGTGTGCGCAGCTGGATGGCTGGCTGAAGCTCTGCTCTGCTCTGTGTCCGTATCAAGGCTTGCTCTGGCCACAGAGGCTGAACTCTCTCTGGGGAGGGCCGTCGTGGCAGCAAGTATGCACGTATGTATGTATGTGGTGCATGCGTTCTCTGTTCATGCGTAACAGACAGCTCTTCCAGTTGCCAGTACCACCTAGCACCTCTGGCAATCTACGCTTACCTAGTGAACTGCCACAGACACCGTAAGCACATGCATGAGCACAAGCACGAGCACGAGCACAAGAACAGAGACTGCAGCGACAGTCGACGCTGAGTCTGTGCGCTCACATCAGGCCAAGCCTCCAAAAAAAGGCGCTGGCATTTGATACATGTATAGAATTACGAGAGGCCTTCAGTTGGACGTGCGGGGTCGCAAGGAAAGCTGCTCAACCTCAACTTGTCACGCATTTCTGAGGCCTTTCGTTGGCCGAGATAGCCGCCTCCTGCCTCCGTCGACCCGCAAGAGGCTGTTCTCGGTCTGTCTGCCCGACGCAATTTCGTCATCAGATGTGAGAGCTGAGCGGGCTAGGCTGGATTAAACCTAGAGATGGATCTACCAACATGATGCATCGCCATAGATGCGGTTCAATTAAGCACCAAGGATCTGCTGCCCGGTCGAATGTACTACCACAGTTTTACTTGCTGTTGATGGTTGACTCTACACAGGTACAGAGGTAAAGAAGCATGAAGTGTTGACCGTGCTAAAGCTTACAGACAATCATCACACAAGTTACAAGCTATCCATCCATCCACCATCTCTCTACTGCTAAGCAAGCCCTCTCGTTATCGGCCCAAATAGTGATTCGGATACTTTATATCTGGAGCAGGAAAAGCACTAGTTTGTCATTGGTGCGATGGTGACAACAAGTTGGAGGTGTGGACCACGTTTGGCATACCTGCTTGTACATGTGCATAAACGTTAATTAAAAATTGATGCCAGAGAGCCCAACGCGCGACAGCAAAGGCAATCTATATGATTGTGATGATGAACCAGATGTCGTTTCTGTATACGAATACTGGCTTGTCCTGAGGAGAGACGATTGTGAGGCGAGTGTTGGGATATGAGAACGAGAGAGGGAGACTGTGATCTCAAGTATGCGAGTGTACTCATTTGTTGGATGCTAACATGGGTAACATGGACGTGCCTGAGCTGACGAGGAGATACAAAACTTGGTGATACACCACTTGAACCACTTGACATGCCACTCCTCTTTATCTTTCCGGCATCAATGGCAAGGTACATGTATGTGTGGTGTCACTTATACCCAATGCCTCGACTCATTACTCTCCGCATGCTTTATCATCCTGTTCTAGCCACTTTGGCTAGTTGCTACTGTCAATGGCATGATCGGAGTATACAAGACACAACGGTCAGCACCTATTACTAACTCCGAGAGCAGCGTACATTGCCTTCTCGAATTCCCTTTTCGATGTATTTAGGCACGGAAACCCGTATCCAGATCCCTCGTTACCAAATACCCGCGTCTAAGAGGCCCGTCGATTTTTGCCTAAGCAAGTATATATCCTGATGTGACGAATCCCTTTATCCGCCTTTTATCCCCCCTTTTAAAACGTGCCGCTGTTGCATCGGGAAGCTTCCGGTCATGCTGTTTTGGACGTCAATGGGAATTAGCAATGGCTGGATGATACATATAGTCTACGTTTGCTTCGGACGTACGGCGGTCTGGAGCAAAATCTCTTCCGGTTGACCTAAATTGACATGTTGGTGTTAGTAATAAGTGATGGTCATTGTGTCTTGTTTGCGTTTAGGTGGTTGACGGTGAACGTGAAGCCACTATAAGCAAAGCCTGGATATGTGTACTAGAAGAAATTGGGGTGAATGCTGATTCCCCATCTTCTGGGGACCCAAATACGATTAAAGTTGAGCAAAGTTTAGTCAAAGTTCTGTGGAGGGCATGATGTGTGAAGTAAATAAGCCCCGTTATGATTGAGTTTACAAGATCCAGTAGTTTTACTATTAATATTCGACCGACGACAGAGGGGTATCCAGGGTAAATGCCATGCTTTTTATAGATATAGAGCATCAAGTTCATTTGAACAAGTCACTGAACAAAAAGAGACATACCATGCTATTGTTTCGACCTAAACACGACGGGTTTATTTTCTCTCGATTTGTATGACCAACCCCTTATAGCCCTTTTTCTGTTCGTATGCTCCTTTACTTTTTCCCAGTGACACTTAGCTATCAACCGATACGATACCCGCTTCAGGCTTTTCGACTTACAAGTGCCTTCCATAGCGCAATTGCAACTATAGAGCCACTAGAGATATATTGTCAATATTGTAAACACTTGGTGAGCTGGATAGGTGGCAGACACCGCAACGCCAATGTCCGTCTCGAGTCAATGGTGTGGTTCATCTATTAAAGTTAATAGAGAGTCGGTTTATTTGCTCATATATTGTATGGTCACTTAGCGGTCTTCGAATATCTACCCACTGGCCTATTTTTCAAGTAGACTTAGATACACAAAATTGATACTTCAAGTAGCTGGACCGGGCATTGGAGATTTGTGCCAAAGTCAGTAGCAAGGTGGAAATCGTAAAAAGTTCTCGTAATGCTGTCTTTGAGATTCCTCGTTGCTTATGATCGCATGCATAGAGTAAAAGTTTTGTATCTTGGGCTTCAGACAGGAGAGTTCACTCTCACGAACGATTGTGGCCAAGAGGCTCAAAAAAATTCTTGAAGTTAGGCCTACCGCCGTATGACAGATGATGTGCGCGTGTCTATACCGATAAATACATACAAGTCGCAGTTTGTACGTGTCAGTAATATATGTCAGTACATATACCATATTGTGCATGGTTTCATTGAGTGTTAAGTACAATATCAACGTAGTTATAACTAAATTCAATCATGAAATGACGATAGTATGATACATAGTTGCTTATAGACTGAGTCGTTGCAATTCAGCATCACACAACGATGACGGAGAACACTCCAGAAGCTGCCCCTAGTTTGCGTATTCCACACGTATTATCTAACAGAACTTACATAAATCTACTAGATTAATGACATGAATCCAGCTCATGACAGATATGGTAAATCTATAGAACTAGAGTTCTTTCCATCACTTGCAGAGTATGTACCTAACCAGCCTGATACACCGCAAGAGCGGCGACATGAGGGTTAATAAGACTTAAATTGTATGGCGTGACAGGCAGATTTGTATCCGTGAGTGCGAGGAACATTGTCCCATTGATGGCCGGATCATGATCCCATGTCGACACATTGGGTTGGAATGTGAACGCCGTATTGCCTAGCTGACTCACGTTGAGCAGTGGCGAGTACGTGACGTTCAGCTGCGATACCCAAGCCGCAAACCTGGGCCGTCTCACCGTGGTAGAAGTCACATAGCTGTTGTTTGGTCCGACTAACTGCCCTGGGTTGTCCCAGCGCAAGAAAACCTGGCGGCCTGGGTATGAAAGTGGGATGCTGCGATTCTGGGTGATGGCTGGCGAGCAGTCTAGCGTCTTGTTGGTCGCATTGAAGCAAAGCTGAGAACTGGAGATGTTTTTGGTAGACAGAGTGTTGGCCCAGCCGCCAGTGGTCTCGTTGAACGCGGCAGAGGCATTGATGCGAGCTGGATTGGGCTGATTGAGGATATACAGCGCAGGGAAGTTCTGCCACACCAATCTTGTCTGGTTTAAAGGACAGCTTGAGATGTACGGCGCCAACAGAGACCATGCCCAACTCTGGGGTATTCCAGGTGTATGCCATTCCGGCATGGGGAACTGCCCGCCGAACTGACGGAAGATGAGTTGCTGGCGAGCTTCAATCGTGATGCTCTGGAGCAGTAATTGGGCTGCCGGACCAGAGTTCAAGTGTGGCAGAAAGCCGTAAACGCCCGCCTCTCCCCACCGTGTAAGTTTTTGGTTAAAATCGATGAATTCCCGGACATTGGAAACAGGGTAGTTGTAAGTACACTGCTTGGGTGCCTGCGGACCGAGCATGTTGGTGAGAACAGTGGCATGTCCAATCTCCTGGTCGGCCATGTACTCAATGAGGAACCTGTCCTTGGCGTTGATCCCGTTCGCCTCAAACTGTTTGGTCGTAAAATTTTTTAAACCCCAGTGAAACAAGTCGAGTTCTATCCATTCCTGGTAGAGAGCCAAAGCGAGTGACTGGTAGTCGTAATCACTTTGGACTCGGTATACCGGGGCAGAGCCATTAGTCCCGATGCCGCCGTTGGGAGTAAACGGTGCAGGCTCGGGGCCGTGAAGCTTGCCATCAGCTGTGTAATTGAACGACCCCGGAGCAGGAGGTCGAGGGAGTATCGCAGAGGCTAAAACCGAAGTTGAGAGAGCCCCGGTGGTAGTTGCTGGCGGTCCGGTAAAGGGGCCATGAGAGGTAACATTGCTCTGAGTCACCACAGCTGGAGTCACAGTTTCAGCGGCAGAAAAGGTGGTTGTTGGAGTGTATTCTCTTGGGATAGCCTGGACGGGCAGCAGGTTCGAGAGGGCGAAAAGCCCGGCGCAATTGAGTATCGCCTTGGAAATCATGATGGCTTCGTTTCTGACGCGAAGCAAAACGTTGTAAGAGTCAACATCAGAGCACTTCTATTTGCATTCCTGAGAATACACAAAATTGCCCAGTCCTTATATCTCCCAATAACTATTCCCACTCATTCACATGAAAATGTGCCGATACACCCGGAGCCTGTCACACTGTCACTCGATCAACGCGCGTGTCTGCCATACTTCCCCAAACGCTCTCCACAACTCTCTCAACAAGCCCAGCCTAGATGACGTGTCTCTACCATTTTATCAAGACATCAATATGAGGTAACAACGCCACTATTTGCCATGTTGTAATATCGCCGTCATGGAGATCCGTGGTATGCGAATTCCTTACGTGTCGAGATGTGGCGCAGGTGCAAAGTTAATGCTCGAACGGCTGGGGCGGGCGGGCGATGATCTGGCGGCATGTCATATCCGCGTATAGTAATACATGAAATCATATGCTGAAGTTTGGGAGTTAATTCTAGAAGTGCTGTCACCGTTTGTGTACGAATGAAAAGCTCAGTCTTCGTCATGATATCCATAGTCCAATGTCTTATGATGGTCCTGATGTCAGCAATGTGATGCTCTGAAGTTTGTATAATCCCTGTCCATAATAACCGTCATATCTGGCTCAGTGACTTGTGATGGCCTTTTAAAATTGCTTTGTGCTCATAAAAGACTTTAAATTACATCATACTCATCGATCTGAGCCTGCTCTGATGAGATTTGACGGAGGGCCGGGTATACACCTGCGGAGATCAATTGATGTTTGAGAGGAGACCCATTTTCAGCTTCAACCATGCACCGATGGAATTATACTAATTGATGCGAATACTTGAGAATAGATAACGGAGTATAATGTTAGTACCTGTGGGCTCAACTTTGGATGGCCAATAGGTGAATCTGGTCACCCAGCTCGTCCTTTACACAATCCCCCATTTTACATTTCACAGCTTCGGAATCATACCGAAACGTTCCAGGTATTTATTATTTACCCACTAGTATTTTGGCATCATCTGCATGTTTTTAGGTAGTGGCGACATAAATAGCTTCGCACTTCAGGCTTGCTGTCCAGCATGCCGTGTTTCAAATCAAGAATTGGTAATATTACAAGACGTAAGAAGAATATAGCTGCGATAACGGATACTAGAGTAATGCAGGTATAGTAGTAGATACCAGAGGTAAGTAGAGATAATAACAGAAAGTAGTAGATAGTAGCAGATATATGAAAAACAGGCATCTACTACCATAGGTGGGTGTTTAGTATCCGTAATAGCAAATACAAGGCTTTCGGTATCCTCCTCTGACCACGAACTCCACGCAGTTACTGGGATGCTGAACACCTCATCCATATTATAAACATACAGCGATCTGCGCATGGTGCCTCTGATAGTTGAGTGTGTTTCTAGTTAGCATTTGTTCTGGCAACTTCTACTAGCAGTTAGTAATAGCACAAAGGTCCATCATACTTTTACTCTTACATTGGCATCGCGCAAAAGTTGCTATAATATGATCTGTCAGCTTGTGAATAATTCCAAATAATGGGGTTGTCTTACGGCCGCAGCATCGTGATCGCTCTGATTGGTATGTTAATAAGTAAATGTATCTAAAGTAATAAGTAAGAGACACTTACATCGCGATATTTAGTGAATTTCTAAGTCTTATAGTTAGCTGCCTGACAAGTAAACTCTCATCATTGTTATTCCAAACATACAGCAATCTGCGCGTGGTGTCTCTGATAGTTGGGTGTTTCTGGTTAACATTTTTTTTACCGGTCACAGGTAGCATAGTTCATACCGCCGCACGCTCTTTATGAAGTTATAGTCATGTCAGTATAAGAGAGAAAAACCAGCCAGTATAAATGTTATAATACCTTCATAAAATGGAGAGCCCCCTGGAATATTAATCAGCATAAAGACCTAAAAGCAGCGGCCAAAAGTAACTTACTTCCTTCGTCTTGGGCTCGGGCTGGCAACCAAAATGCCAGTATATACAACTCAATATAGTGACACATTCTAAACTGACCAACTCCCCTGCGGGAGGGAGCCGGGCGGCGGCGGGAGGGGGCTGTAGAAGTAGTGAGCATTGAGAACAGAGGCACTGATTCCGTGATTGTTGATAGCGTACCGGAGCAGGGCGGGGGTTCGCCTGCTTGGAATCCTGTGATCGGCTTAGTATAATGTTGTATATGTAGGAAGCGCGTTGGAGGAGAGGAGTTGAGCATACGTTCTTGCGTTTCTGGAAATACAGGTGTCAGCATTTCAACATGATGATTAATCTATAGAGCGCACTCGTGTGTGGTAGAGAAATAAAGACGGGTATGGAATCGGAAAGAGCAAGAGACGCTTTGTTGGGGCATAATAACTTACCAGTGTCTTGTTCTTTGAGAAATTTAGCGATGGATTCATGAATACAACAATGGAGGTGGTATAGTATTGAACTTGCCGTCATGGCTAGGCAAAGAGGGAAAGTGTTAGCCGAGCTAGAATATCAGCTACTACTTGAAAGAATGGAATCTTACTTGGGGATTGCTAGTCAGACTAGGTGATTAGCTGAAGCTTCGGATTACCTAGAGCAAGCGAAGAGGGGTGGGTGAGGATGGTAATTACATACTTGCCTGAGAAAATTCTATATCAAGTTGATAGCAAGTTAGTATGTTCGTAACTATGGAGTAGATGAAACCTACTTAGTTCATCTATCTTCTTAAGGGCAAAGGTTGGCAATATTCAGCCAGCAGTAGAAGAAAATGGGGAGTCAAGTTGGTACACCAGAAGAGAACTCTGGCCTAGAATATTCGGGCTGATGAGAAATCAGTCGGCGAAACGCGCGTATCTTGGTGGAGATGATGGTGTTCTTGTCGAGAGAAGAAAAGAAGAGAACCTTGGAAGAGAAAAGAAAGGAAGAGAAGGGAAAGGAAGAGGGAGAAGGAGGGAGAGGCAGAGTGAAGTGAATTGCTGCGGCAGTGGAAACGTGGGGGCCTTGTTTGACTTGGCAGCTGGCGGCCACTCTCAAGGTGCTCTTACCCTTTTCAACTCCAATGCCACTGCCGAGTTCGACGAACTCTATGAGCAGGCGAAAGCATGGCATGTTCGGTCACAAGCGTTGCTCGGTCACAAATTTCGGGCTTTAAGAAGACGATTGCTTGGTTAAATCAGTACATCTAGTAGATGTAGATAGATCTAGTAGATGTAGATAGATCTGGCAGATGTAGATAGATCTGGCAGATGTAAATAGAAGTATACAACCGTAAGCTTCAATAACATGAAACTGAAGACTCTCAACTATCCAAACATGATCGGGTCTCCAAACCCAGTAGCTCAGAGCTGCTGCCTTTAACATCACCCATTGTAAGCCATTCTCTCCATCTCATCCGCAAAACAGCCCGTACTAAGCAATGCTCTAACCTCACAAACAAGGGCCACAAACAGGCATAATTCTGTTCTGCCTCGTCATCTCAAAAACCCCAAAAGTACATCCACATCTAAGCCTCAATCTACTCCGTTAAAACTCCACACAACAGCAATGCTTATATAGTGGATTAATTCACCATGTTTCAGTGACAGATCAAGGCATTGTCGATAATGATTCCCCAAGATATCACATAACTTAATAGTATCCACAAATTCATCGTCATTCTCATCTGTATCTTTTTGCCAATTGTATACAACAAAGATCGTCGCCGCGTAGTATGCAAATATGCGCTGGCAGAATATCCACAATAATACAGTAGCGGGCTTCAACAACTGATAATAAATGACAATCATTCCTCGCCAAGTATGTAATTAATGATATCACAAAAATGAACAGCATTAAGACCGCTCACGTCCTTCTGCGGTAAAAACACAAACGTATTTAAAGAGGGACCCAGGGGTTTTAGTCAACTCCGGCCACTCAATGCAAAGACAAAAGCTCAAAACCCCACAAAACGCCAACTTGTATATACTTGCTCCTCATCTCATCCCGCATTTTCTTCTTGTATAGTATTAGCTTCGTCAAACCATTGCCCGCTTAATTATCGCTGCCGTCTAAGCAAGCTCATGCATCTCGCCGCGGTGGTCGCCGGAGTTCTGCGCCGGAGCCTCGTGGATAACATTCTCCTGGGGCTGGAAAGATCCGGGTCCAGGAGCCGCGTAGCCGCCAGATGGGACCGGGCTGGTACTTGACGTGACAGTGCTGTATCGAGGATCGATGGGAGAGATGGTGTGGCCTTCGGGAGTAGGGTAGTATCCCTGCTGCTGGTACTGCGGGTATTGCGCCGTAGCCGCGGCGAACTTGGGATCGTATGGGCCCTGGGGTGTCTGCTGCATGCCAGGAGGAGGTGGATAGACGGGAGGAACTTGGGGCGTTTGCTCCTGCGGGACAGCCGAATGGGTCTTCTTGCGGCGGAGGAAGAAGAACGCAGCGAGGCCAATCAGACCAAGACCGCCAACGCCTCCAACGACACCTCCGACAATGGCACCAGTGTTGGAGCCGCCGCCGCCGCCGCTAGAGGGAGCAGGAGTTGTCGTTGCTGGGGCAGTCTCTGATGTGCTAGAAGGAGATGACTCGGTGGAAGAAGAAGTAAAGTCATTGGCGATAGTGCTTTGAGGAGAATTGCTCGTCAATGTGAGAGGTGAAAACCTCCTGGAAGACTCGCCACGGTATGTGGTCAGAGCAGCCTGCACCTCCGTGATCTGAGCATTGTTGCAAAAGACGTCCATGATATCTCCAGGGAAGGAGATTGTGTTGCAGTAGGGCAGCGCTGAGTTGGTGCTGTTGATGATAATAATGTTAGCCAACACCCAAAGATGCAAATTACAAACAGGCAAGAGAAACAACATACCACTTGAGAGTGAAGGTATCGACCTTGCAGCCATCGTTACACTTGCTTTGGCTAAAGTAGCCCTCGTAGTCAATGCAAACGTTTCTGGCATTGCAATCCTGCGAGTTACAGCAGGCGACATGTCCCGGACCAGCAGCCGATGATGTGAAGAAAACACATGTTGCCGAAACACCACAAGTATATCCCGCGCCAGCAAGGCCAGAAATGTAACCGCAAGTGGCATCAGGGGCAATATAGACAACCTCGGGGCTGGATGTTGATGATGAGCCAGCTCGGCGCTGAAGAGCCTGATGGAAGGGGAAATTGACAGCATCAGTCGGCTTGGGAGTGAAGCCATCAAAGGCATAATCCGAAGCAGCAGTTGCTCTAGGAAGCTTGTTCAAGTTGCGAGCATCGGCAGCGGCTAACAGAGCCGCGAGAGTGGCATAAACACTTGTTGCCTTGTTCATCATAGCTAGGCTAGGCTTCAAAGCGATGCTGTTTTTCGACAGGAGGGTTGACAATGCCGTGTCTCAAAAAGCTGGCTTCACCGAGTACTGAGGACAAGAAGGAGCAGAGGAAAGGGGAGACGGTCTGGTTTGGGGGCACACCCAAATGGTTTTATTGCACCAGTGATAGCACAAAGGGGCCAAGGCACAGAAAGCACAAAATATGCCCGAGCTACTGAGGTATAGTCCCCGTCCGGTTTGATGAATTGTAGCTGCCCAGCCCGCTTTACTGGTACTTGCATTGGTACAACTGCATCCTCCGCTCCATTCAGCCTCAAGTTAGCTCGCCTACTAGTCGAAAGGCTGGTTGTAGGAGGACATGGGTGTTGTGTGTAAAGGTGCCATCACCGCAAGACGTCGTGTCGTCGGATTGGTGGCTTGCACGAGCTGAATGAGAGCAGCACGCTAACAGCAAATAGATCCTAGATCCATGAGACCACCCGGCGATTGTGCGCCAGGCAAAACGACAGGGGGGCCGGAAGGGCGTCAGCTCCATGCAGGATAGTGACAAAACATGATTGCCGCCCAGCCAGAATCAGAGCATCTCTTTTGCGTGGTTGATCGCAACAATCGTCTACGAGTTGTGTTGGTCCCCTGGGCGTCACAACTTAAAGCAGAGCTTGACATCCCGTAGTCCAAGCCACAAGATCTGAAGCCATTGCTTGATAGTTTGCCACAAGCGCAGCCGCAGCCGCAAAGTGGTGGGCGAGGAACCAATATCGCAATGATAGCCATGGCATCAACAGGCCCCCCGCTTGAACAACGCAGGGACCATGACGCTGCGCACAGAGTCGCCTCATCCGCGAGGCCCGGCACCGGAATCCCTCATGAGCCGCTTGTCCATCATTGACAAATCAAGCACGGACTTTGATGCCTAACCGCGTCTCCCACGCATCAGGGCATTCGTCTTCCATCCCCTCAAGCGCGGAAAGCTCCAAACCGCGGAACCAGAGCTCCTATCGACGCCGAGTCTAAATCGGGAACAAGCTTTTATAGTTGTCGAATAAGACGGAGGAACAATTGTGGAAATGAGAGGGGCCGGCACAACTGATAATGGCAACACATGCGCGATCAGCAGCACAGCCTGTCCAACAAACAACTTTAGCTGCCCACCCACTAGCCACGGCCGGGTTAAGCTGCCCTGCCCATAATAGCGTGGGATTGATGCCCTGTCAGAATCTGCCGCAGCGCCATCGCACCCATCGCACCATCGCGTGGTGGTCGAAGCGTCTCGGGTTCTGTGTCAATTTCCAGAGCTAGCTCTCTGAGACATTCTGAAGAGGCTTGCCGTCGATGTCAGAAATACAGCAATTTCGGTGGAATTGATGCTTGATTTTTCCGACTGATTCCAGTGCCTTCACCGCGATCATCCTGTACCCGAGTCTGTCAAGTCTCGCCGCTCTCTCATACCGCCCAGCCGAGCTATCGCAAGGGCGCAGTAGTCTTGTTTTTTTCTCAGCGATCTTCTTGTTTTTTTCTTTTTTTACCGCCATCTGTAGCTCACACCCTTGCTTCGACTGTTAAGCCGCCTCACTTTTTAGTCTGCTAGACCCTTACAGGCTCACCGGTAGCTCGAGGATCCGAGACTTGAGAGAATTGGATGTGAGGCTGAATCGACGAATTGTTGCAAAGCGGAACCCGGACAGGGATCGGGCTTGCAACTAGGCGCGAAAATAGGCGAAAATAGGTTGGGGTAAAAAAGCTGAGTTACTCCGTTTGACCAGCGCGGATGCAGGACGCAAGAGAAGTTGTGCGAG